GCCCGTGGGAGCCCGCGCGGACGAGGGGGTAGGGGCCGGACGCACTTGCGATCACTGGGCGCAGGCGGAACCCGGGCGCCCAGCGAAGGCTCACCCAGTGCAGGTCGTCACAGCAGGCACCGCCTTTGCGTGGAGGGACCAGCGCGAAAGGGGGTCCATTTGAAAAGGCAGCTTCCAGCCCCTTTCCCCTGCACTTGATACTATAATGTTGCTAAATAACCTTGGGTTTTGTAGGGGTTTAGCTTTAAAACTGTGGAGATAATACAGAGAGCTCCCACACCCACACCCAGGCCCCACAGCCCTGAAGGCAGGTCGCTTCAAGGAGAGGATTATTTTTGTCTTTGTTTATTTTTATCTCGTCCCTAAGAACGTGTGTAGGGCCAGGCACCATCCAGGCCGTCAGTAATGTTTGGTGAAAACCCGACCACGAACGTGCTGCCCGCCCCGCACCTCCCTGTCCCGGCCAGGCCAGCGCATCCCCGAGTCAGGCTGGAGGATTCCGCTGTGGCCTGGGCGGGAGTGCAGCCGGATCGGCAGGGGCAGAGCAGAAAGAGCCCGGACCGCAGGGGGGGGGCAGGAGGAGCAATTTTTAATGATGAGGCCAAAGGGCCCTGTTATAAGCTGACAGAGGGAGAGAGAACAAGAAGGGGCCAACACAGCTTTCAGGGCAAAGGGATGCTGGATCTCAGTATGCAAAACACGGCTTGTTTTCTCCCCTCCCGCATCCCCACTGACGGCCTTCTCCACTTTATGGCCATTTGGAGGTCACCTGAGTCTGCCCCGTGGTTGTTTTCTTGCTAAGCTTCCTTTATGCAGAAAAATGATAATGCATTTAGGATGCTTTCAAAAGTCTCCAGGGGGAATTAATTTGTTTATAGGGCTGTGTATCTTGTGGGTAGACCAACAAGGAAAAACACAGGCTCTCGTTGTCAGCTCTGCCCAGTGAGGTCCAAGGGTGGGTGCAGCCCGTGGGGTCCCAGCCCCAGCCAGCACTCCCTGTTTTGAGCTGTGATCAGTCTGAGACACATGTCATCGGGCTGTCCTTTCGCGTGTCGGCTCTCAGGCCGCCCACACCGTGGTGCTGTTCGTTCTCAGGGACACCTGCTCAGCAGTCTGCTCTGGAATGTTCCCTGGTGGGGCATCTTGACATAAATGCCCAAGGGACAGGAATTAGGCTGTACATTTTTACTCCCTACCCCGTAGGCCAAGGCTGCATAGTCACCATGTCCAGACCAGCAAGGTGGACATGTCCCAAGATCCCGTCATAGTTAGTCATAGTTTGTCTTCCTCTTTCCACCTCATGAAAGCAGCGGTGCAGGGACCGGCGCTCGATGACAAGAGCAGCCTCCTCAGGGATTGGCCTGCCCCCCGGGGGCGCTGGGAAGTCACCCTGTGTCTCCGGGCCTGGCCGGCTGCCGCCCTGGTCCGCGGTGACTGCCGTAAAGGCAGCAGCCCACTAAGTTCTATACCTGCAAGTGATTGGCTGCTGCCCTGGTTTGTTTGGGGGGAGGCATTTTAAGACTGTTTTCTGCAGCCGGGTTAAACGGCACACGTCAGCTCTGCGGATGTGCAGTAGACCTTGTTTGCTGAGTCTCTGCATGAATCAAGTTAGCTCCCAAGGAATAATTTCAGATTCAGCTTTCACGGTGAAGTTCAAACAATGTTTTAACAATGGTCCAGCCCTGGTCATTACAGTCCTTATGAAATCACTAAGCTCACAGCTGTCTCAGAGAGCGACAGAATACCAGGGACCCCCCTGATGGACCTCTCGGGGCACCTGCTCACTTCCAAGCTATTTGCAGCTGGTGATTTCGGGGGGAGTTCAGCAACAACCACAGAATCATTTGTTCTCAAGTCTGTCCAAATGGCGTTTCGCTGACATAATTGGAAGCAACGTATTCTTGAGCATCGTCTCTGAGTAACATTTTCCAGACCCACAGCAGGTTTCAAAACTTCAAACAAAGCACTTGGAGTCGCTGGAACAACACATCAGGCATGTAAACACATCTCAGAAATGGAAAGCTCGGCCCTGTAAAGTCCGGCCAGAAAACCTGATCTCTTAGGAGAGGGGGCTGGTGCTGCCGGTGGGACCGCCAGGAGCTCAGGGGCCTCGGTGTCCCGGAACAGAGCTCACTTAGCAACAGAGGAAAATGCCCTTAATTGATGACGTAGGGGGTGGATGTTTTTGTTCCTGCAAGCTGAGCGATCTGATGGTTTTTGCTGAAACCTCCTGGGATTTATAACAAAATTTTACTCTTTTCTTTTTTTTTTCAACTGCAAGGAATTTGTGTGTTGCACAGATAGATTTCCCCCGAGTCTCCTGTCCCCTCCTTCCCTCCCTCCTCCCAGGGCAAAGACCCTCTCTCCGCAGCTGGTGTAGGAAATCTTACTTTGAGCTCGTTTTGATATTAGATCCTGAGTCCCAGTCTGCATTTGGGGCATATTTAGTTATTTTATCTGTGGACACACGCTGGCTCAACTTAAAATCATCCAGCACGTCAAAGCCTCTAATCAAACCTCCGGTAGAAGTGAAATGCCTGTGGGCAATCTGTCCCCTTGCACCCCTCCCTCCCGTGCTCCGGTCCTGGGAGCCTCAGGGGCCGGGGAGGGGTGGGGAAGCCGGCCCCCATCCCTGCCCGCATCCCTGCTCAGGAGGGAGGGCGGCGTCAGCGGCCTGGCTGGCCCTCACCGGGACCCCTGTGAACTCCGAGAATAGTCCACAGATTCGGTCACTTTAAGAACTTATTTTAGCAAGAATCATGAAAACACACTGTGTCCTTATCATGGAAAGAGAGTGGCTTTCTTTTAATAACACACTTCACTTTTTAAATGGTTAACTTATCCAGTAATTCCATTTCTGGAAAACTAATACCAAAACAGTAATTTTTTTCTAACAGCAAAAAAAAAAAAATCGCTGGCGAAAAATGCACATCTTAGGGTAAATGGGCGTGTGGGACATGGGCCACAATTCGTGGTTCATGTGGATAAGCTCTTCCACCAGCGCCTGTTGGTGAAGTGTGTTCATGGGAAATGTTTCAGAAGCGTAGTGATTGCTCTAAGATACAAAATTTATGGAAATGTTCAGGGAAATGCATGTATGCAAGAAAAATTGCAAAATGTATAAGTACAAAGGAAAATAGACTCCGGCCCTGGCTGGTGTAGCTCAGTGGATTGAGCGTTGGCCTGCAAACTGAAGGGTCACCGGTTCGATTCCCAGTCAGGGCACATGCCTAGGTTGCAGGCCAGGTCCCCAGTAGGGGGCGTGCAAGAGGCAACCACATACTGCTGTTTCTCTCCCTCTCTTTATCCCTCCCTCCCCCTCTCTAAAAAATAAGTACATAATATCTTTTTAAAAAGAAAAAAAATAGACTTGGTAAAAACTGGAAATGCTAACAGTTAATTTTGTTAAGCAGTATTGTTCTAGGTGCTTTATCCTGTTCCTAATTTTTCCTGCTGTTCCTATTTTTTTATTTAGTGACTACGCATTATTTTTATAATAAAAAATGTTTAGAAATTTACATTTATTTAAAATTAGGCAAAAGAACGGGATGGTTGATTCCTATCAAAAGTAGTAATTACTTAATCATCTCAGTTAATTTATGATTTAGATATTAAAAATAGGAAAATATCTTCAGATAAATCCATTTCATCACACCCATACTATCAAACAGAACTATCTGAGTAAATATGAAAAGAAAAGAATTGGTTTGCAGTAATTTGTTCTAATAGATCCCTGTAGTATCTCAGAATTTGCTGTGATCTCTCTCTACCCCAAAAACAAATATATTCATAACAAAGAGACCAAAATGTTCAAAATAATTAACTGCATAAAATAAATATAAAATGTTTCAGATTTTGAATAAATATTTGAAAATAAGGCAGAGAGGCTTTCGAAAAAGGATGAAAAAAAAAAAAAAACCCTTTGAAATGTTTAGTAGTCCGTGTAAGTAGAGATCTCTAAAAGAACGCCTTCCCAAACCGGAAATAGTCCTGTTGTCTGCGTCATCTGGTCCGTTTGATGAGCACAAATTTCATCCAGTGTGACCAGGCAGGCCAGATGGCCTCAGGCTGATTGCAGACAGGTGACCTGGCCGCAGAGGTCCCAGGTCTCCCCACGGAAGGACAGTTGTGACACCAGGTTGCTCTCGGTCCTCGTTCCTGGGCCCTGGGTCCGGACACCTCTCCGGGGGGCCCCCCAACCCTCGGGGCTCTGCCCCAGGGCCCTGGCTCACCTTTGCCAAGCAGCGTGTGCGGGCAGTAGAGCCCTCTCGTGACCTATGAGTGAACTCCTGGAGCAGTGGAGGAAGGCGGTCCTCCCCCTGAGCCCCCGCCCCCGGGGCTCCTTTCTGCCCTGCGGTTGGTGCCCATCACTCACTTCCTCCACAGAGTCTGTTGTGTGTGTGTGTGTGTGTGTGTGTGTGTGTGTGTGTGTGTGTGTGTGTGAGGCAGGGGTTCCAGCAGAAAAGGCCGTCTCCAAGTGTCCTGTGCCTTCCCACTCCGCCTCCATGCAAGTCACCTCGCTGCAAGCAAACCGCCTCCTGGGTGAGTTAGGACACAGCCGTGTGTGCTGTGAAACCCGGCCCGTCCCAGACTCAGGAACAGATCCCCATGCGGAGAATCCCGCTGAACCGCGGTGGTGGTTTCTCGGGGCTGCAGATGGGAACCAGCCGGCGGCCAGGGCGCTGTGTGCCACGCTGGGCAGGGAGCGGAGAGGAGCTGCTGATCTTGCCCCAGGACCCAGGCAGCCCAGGCCCCCAGATTCATGGTAGGCTGCTCCTTTCAAAATCCCCTGTGTGGTCCTCTCCCTCCCCCACATCCTCGGTCTCCTCCCGTGGAACTCTGGGAGGGAGGCCTCTTAGTCCCCCATAGCCTGGTCCCCTACCACACTCAGTGACTGTGAGCTACAGGACCCTGTTAGGTGAATATGACCGTCCCGCTCAAGTATTTAGGTGTGACGTGTCCTCTCTGCAGAGCCCTCTCAAATGGCGTCAGGGAGAGATGGACAGGTGGGACCGCAGCAAATGCGTGGGCACCTGGGGACCCCAGGACAAGCACGCCCAGTATTTGTGGCACTGTCCCACCAGCACTTCCAGAGGCGCACTTGTTCGGGACAGAAGAAGCTGACGAGACCACGTCAGACGTGATGTTTGGAGTCTGCCTCTGCCGAGCGGTGCCCTGTGAACACGGTCAGGAGTCTGCTTCTTCTAAGGTTCTTGCCTGAGCAGCAAATCGGGGAGGAAAAGACCTGCATGGGCACTGCACTCCCCCGAAGTGGTTTGGGAACGCCAGTCACAGCAGCCAGCGTAAAGCGCTTTGCGAACCACAGACCCCTGTCCTGGAAGAGATGGCGCGGATGCCGTTACTCGGTCATGCCCAGATCACCTGGCCAAGGCTGCCACCCCGGCTGTCCAGACTCCAGCCAATCCCTGCTGCTGCCGCCCCTAATCGTGCATATTCATGATTAGTATTCATATTCATGATCAACCTTCATATTCATGACTGGCCTTCTGGCTTCTCCCCTGCTCAGCCCCAGCCTCAGACACAGCCCTGCGTTTGAGACCCAGCGGACAGAGCAGCCGGCAGCTCCTGTCCTGGGGCCTCCTTCCGGCCCCTTCCCAGAGCCTTGCCCACGCCCCGGGATCACTGGAACCTGCTGGCTCCTATGAGACCCTCAAAGGCTTCCCAGCACTACAGAAGCACCCGGAGAAATGCCAGCCAGCTGTACCAGGAGTCCCTGCTGCTCAGGTGAGCTGGTCTTGGCCACCTGCTGGGCAGCCAGGGCAGGTGGCGGGGAAGGGCAGCCTGGCTTGCATGCGACCAAGGGGCCAAGTCCCATCCCGCTTGGCGGTCCTTTGGGATGGACGCAGAAGCCCCCTTCCCCAGGTTCTTGCGCAGCTGGGGTGGCCAGCTCGGCAGGTGCCCGGAGAGAGCCAGCCCTACCTGCTTCTGAACCGGGGGGCCGAGTCCAGAGGTCTGTTCCCAGCCTGGCTGTTGTCGCTGGCCAAACCCAAAGACACGCTCCATCTGTTTCCGTTAACTCAATCAGCCATGTCCAGAGAGAGAAGACACGCTCCGTCTTAATAAATGGGGTGTCTGTGGGGGAAGGCTTCGGGCCAGCTGCACTGGGGCATCTGTTCAGAGGCAATACTTACTTATAAAGGTGGGTTAGATCCTCCGTGAACGCAGAGAACCTGGACAAAATTCTCCTCTGAGTGAGCGAGGCCGTCTAAATTAGAGAAAAGCAGAAGAACTGCTTTCTCCTCTGTTTTCTTTAAAGTACATCATTGGTCAAATAGCCAGAACAGAATACTCATGTGTCCTCCTGAAAAGCTGCATTAAGAGTGACCTGTTGGTGGTTACCAGGAATAAATACTGATCCCTGCTGAAAAATTCTCCTGGGCAGTAACTGTTTCCCCACATAAATTTGTCTAGCTTGTTTCTCGTTGTTAGAAATCGGCCACTGTTAGGTCAGACCACAAATAAGTCCAAGCGGCAAGGCCAGGAGGGGTCTCTGGGGGGGCAGAGTTTGGTTTCTGATTTCGCATCTACAGTTTGGGGGCAAGGAGGGGCCGGTCTCCAAGGCCAGCCCATTCCTTTGGTGCGCCTCACAAGGCACTGCTCTGCCACCGAAGATGCTGTTTTGAGGAACTGTTATAAGCCCCTCTTATCTCCTCCTATGACGTCTTCTGAAAGTATCTTTGATCCTAAAAAAAACCCTTCTCTGTCACGGACCCACCGCAGAACCAGACCCAGTTCCCCTCCCCAGCCCCGCGTTCCCCCCCACACACACATTTCCACTAACCGGCTTTCCTTCCGTGCCCCGGATGGCAGCGTCAACGCCGACGAACCAGGGGACAGCAGTGACCCAGAGCAGATCTTCCAGAACCTACAGTTCCAGAAAGACCTCATGGCTAACATCCGCTGCCGACCCTGGACCATGGGGCAGAAGCTGAGGGCGCTGAGGTGAGGCCTGCACGGCAGCTGCTGGCGACGGCACGTTTGCGTCCCCCGAACCACCCGCCTCACCCTGGACACGGGTGTGGGGACCCGTGGGCCTTGGGCCGGGGGCTTGGGACCTGACTCGAGAGGGCTGGGGTGTGTGTGTGTGTTGGAGGGAACTTTTTGGTTTTCTATCTCCTTTTCAAACACCTGATTTTAGTGCCGTGTCCAGAGGTGAACAATACAACCACGCTCACTCAAGACAGGCATATAATCCAAATGAAAATAAATGCTGTTTTTACCTGCTTGGTAAAATTTCCCTCGGGCAGGGAAAGTGTCCTGGGAAACCGGGTCCCTGTAATAGTAAGAGCCATACTGGTGGGGGGTGGGGGGTTCTGTCGAGATTACAGTGAAGGGCTGCCCAGTGGACGACAGATCCAAACAGTGCCGCTACCAAGCGCTAGCTGTGTGGCGCGGGCTAGTTCCCTTCATTTCTCTGAGTGCCGGATCCTTTTTCTTTGCAGTTGAAGTGACGGGGAGAGTGGTACTGGCCTCCTGCCTGCGGCAGGGTGCTTCTGAAGGCTCAGAAATCCCTGGCAGCCCCCGACCCACCGAGGCAGAGCTCGGGGGGCGCTCAGGCTGAGTCCTCTGCATGCTGTACAGTTCGGGGTCCCCGGTAGCAGTTCAGGGCTTCAGCGTCATAAAGCACCCGGGCAGCACTTGGCCTTGCAGTGTCTGTCGTGCCGAGCGTGGCGGTCGTCCCTGGAGCAAGCAGTGCCAGAGGACGGTGGCGGGGCTCACCGCACAGGGAGCGAGCAGCGGGGTCTGAACCAGCAGCGCCGCTGCCGCCGCGTGAGGCGGTCGCTCCTGGAGAAACAGCACACCACCTGCTCCCTGGGGCCGTCCAGACACCACCAGCCCCCCTCCCCGTGCCGGCCACGCAGCCACGCCCACCCCATCTCCACCCAGGCTCCGTCCTTCCGGTCTGAGCAGAGGTGCAGCCGGTGGGGTTGTGTCCGTCGTTTGTGCTCTCAGAAGTTCCCAGTCCACCTTGTGCCTGTTAGCAGCTTGCCTCACTTCTCTGTCCCTCCCTCCCTCCCTCCCTCCCTCCCTCCCTCCCTCCGAGTGAAGGCAGCCTTTACAGATGAGAAGGCCCCAGTGGTGGGAGGTGTTTGTGGCTCACCCCAGGACACACAGCCTCTGAGGGCCGGGCTGGCGGCTCGGGCCAGGGCTCCCCGGGCCCAGCCCCCGTGGTCTGTTCTGCTGAACCCCACCAGAGTTAGCAAGGGCGCACCTCACCTCTCCAAACGGCCGTGTCCTATACGGAATTCTGAAAATCCCACCGGAGTACTGACGGTGGGGGCCATCTGAACAGTAGGAGGTTCATTAAGCTTTTTCGCTCTGCGGGGCCGACCAGAGCAATGCACTTTCCATCAGAGCCCTTGAGGAGCAAAGGAGCAGAGCGGGCCGTGCATGCCGAGGCCTGGCCGCGGTGCTCAGGTGGCCAGCACCAACGTCACACTCTCTGAGAGCGTCTCACCCTCTGAGCACCTGCTGTCTCACCCTTGTCCCCCCCCCACGTCTCCTCTCTGGCCAAGGCTCTTCCTGGAGCCTCTGCAGATGGGGCCCGGAGCACTGAACCCCAACTGCTTGGGGACCAGGGAGACAGCCAACACAGACAAAAGCGGGACCTCTAGCTGTGAGTCAGGGCAGCGGATGCCCACCGGGGGCGGTGCGGCGCGTGTGTGTGTGTGTGTGTGTGTGTGTGTGTGTACGTGTGTGTGCACCTGCACCTTCTCAGGAAACCAGTGGTCAGCACCAGCCCCCCCGCTACCATGGTTCCCGACTCACCCCCCAGTCCCAGCACTCGCCGACCCCGCACGCTCTCGGTTACTGTGGATTCAGGGTCTTGCTTCTCTGCGGGCGGGTGGGCTCCGCGAGGCATCCATAGGCCATCACACTTGACCCAAGCGCGGCTGCAGAAAATGGGTGTGGGAAACGCGTGATGCATGACTGTGTAAGGCCTCTCTCTGTCTTCTAGATGCTGTGCGGTGAGGCCCTGTTTGTGGAGGGGGGTCTGCTGGTTCCTTGTGCCTCTCAGGGGAGGCCTCGGCACCAGGGGCACTGCCAGGACCTGCCTGGGACGCACAGGCAGGAACCCCCTGGCACGGGAGCCGGGGACTAACAGAGTGAACGACTCACACAGAGGGCGTCCCCTCCGATAATGAGAATCACCTCGGCGTAGTGTCCGATGAGGTCACCTGGGTGGTGACGTCTGGCTCTAAGAGTCTTGGGTGTGGGTCTGTCCCGTGGCAGTGACCTGTGTTCCGTGACCCGTTGTTCACTCAGGCATGGTTTCACCACCGAGCGCAGTGAATCCAGCCCCTTCCTGAGGGCCGGCCGTTTCTCCGAGAGGCACCAGGTCGGCTCACCAGGGGGGTCCGGTCAGTCAGAGGGGCAGTGTTTCGTGTGGGTGTGTGCACACAGCATCCGCGCTCCAGTGAGGCAGGCACCACCCTCTCCTCGAGGCCGATTCTCTGAAGTCAGGTCTGACTTTCTCTGCTGGAGCACTGAGTGCAGGAGGCAGGGGGCCGAGGTCAGGGGGAGGGGCCGAGGCGCCAGTGTCTGCAAGCAGGGTGCCCAGTGAAGGGCTCCTGCCGGCATCCGGAGCTAGGGAAGGGCTTGAAGAAATTCGTAGTAGTGTGGTGATGGCCACGGGGCGGGGGCGAAAAGGGAAAAGGGAGGGTAAGTGGGATGGAAGGGGACCTGACTTGGGGGGTGCACACTCAGTACAGCACACGGGGTGAAGCTTATATAATTTTATCCATCGATGCCACCCCCAAAACCGTAAAAATATATTTAAGAGATGTTGTTGTAGCTGATTTGGGTGTTAATCATTTTGCAGGAATTAGTTCATTGAAATGGTGAAGAAAATCTGTTTTCCCAGTTTCATTAAGAAGTAATGGACGCGCCTCACTGTATAAGTTTAAGGCACACAGCGTGGTGATTTGGTTTCCACATATTACAAAGTGATCGTCACGATAGGTTCAGCCAACAGCCGTCACCTCCTTACTGCCACACAGAAAACCTCCTTCTGACTAGCACTCCTGGGGTTCACTGTGCTGACGGCTCTCCTGCGCTCCCTTCAGCAGGGGGACTGCCGTCTCCCGGCGGCACCAGGCTGCACCAGGCTGCACCTGGCGTCCCCGGTCCTGGCTCCATAAAGAAAAGTTTGCAGCTGTGACCACCCCTCCCAACCCTCCTCCACCTCTGCTGACCCCCAGTCTGAGCTCTGAGAAGGCGCTTTCTCGAGGAGTTGCCCGGTCACCCAAAGCCCAGATGAGAGATTGGCATGGCGCCACCTTCCCGGGAACGGTCCTGTGTTGTCGGGCCACCTGCTGAACATTCACACCCTTTGTGACGATTGTCAGGGCAGTAAAACTGTGCTCACCGTCAGATCTGTCTTTTCTCAGGCAAGCGAAGGAGATCGTGCTGAAGTTTGAAGGGAGGCTGACCAGGACTCGGGGCTACCAGGCTGCAGGGGCAGAGGTAAGTAGCACCCCCTGGGCCCCAGCAGGCCCCAGCAGGCCTCAGCAGGCGGCACCTGCATGTGCACCTTGCGTGAGCACCTGCGCGACCCCGCACCTGGACTACAGTCCCAGGTGCCGTCTCCTGCCAGCTGTGTGACCTGGGGGAGCCCGTGCTCAGAAGCGGGTCCCGTCCACGGAGAGAGTGACCGCCCGCCCTCCTGACTCGGTCCCGCCCACACGTGCAGACTGTGGTCTCCGTCACCACGAGGAAGGCACAGACCCGCCCAGCACTTGGCTTGTGACACAGCGTGGAGGGGCTTGTGTCTCATTTTCCCCATAGTGGGGAAAATGCCCCACTCACAAGTAAACCTCAGTGTATATTGCTGTTTATAAAAACATTCCATCATTTTCATAACTGTCTAAAGAACAAAGAAAAAATTATATCTCCCTCTGTGACTCCCTACTTCTCAACTGAGTGGGTATCTTTTTAAAAATCTCCTGTTTCAGCCATTCACTAGTGAATGTCTAATTTCACATCAGACTAATTACAGGCCACAAACATTTTGTCTCCTCTCACCGACCGTACTAACGAGGGCTTCTCCACGTTGCCGCACGGTTTTTCTCTGAACGTTCGGTGATGCTTTTGCCATGGAGACCCGGTGCAGGTCTTGAGAGAAGCATGGCGCTGTTTCCCACACCTTCCGGAATCCTGGCCACCAACAGACTACGCTTCTTGGTCCCCTCTGCCTCTGCAGGCCCCCGTGGGTGCAGCCGCTGCAGGCTGTCCCCGCTGAGTCCGGGCCTGGGTCCTACGCGGCCGCCCCGGAGGCAGCGGGCAGGGCTTTGGTCTGTTCCTCAGTGAAGTGCTCACCCACCCGGTGCTGTAGTTAAAGTGCACCCCCAGCACCACGGACTGAATTCTGAATTCTGTTTCTTGCAAAATGAGGACACCAAATCCCCCCAAAAAGAAAGTAACTTTTTCCCAGGGGGACAGAACAGGATAGAGGTGGAGCCAGGGCTCAGTCTCAGGTCTCTGTGCTGCCACCTGAGTGCTTCTCACGGTGGGGACATTACGGTGGCCCTGAGCCTCCAGTGCCCCCAACCCAGACCCTCCCCAGAGGCCGTGTGAGCCCCGGCTCTGGGGCACGGGGGCCGAGGAGGGGGGACAGCTGGTCTTCCCTCTGGGCCGCAGCAGACAGCACGGGGACAGTGCAAAGCAGGACGAGGGGGCAGGAGCGACCTGGGAGAGGGGCCGAAGCCACTGCTGGGCCCGTGGCGGGCGGCAGGCTGTGTCCGTGGGGCGGAGAAGTCAAGTGCTGCGGTGGTCATCGGGGGAGGGGTGGCGGCACGGGACCGGGTCTGGGGTCAAGAGCAGAGTGCTTGTGTCCTCCAAACCTGGACGCAGCTCTGACTGTCGCTCAGCAGCAGCAGCAGCCGTGCTGGCCTCGGCAGACATGTGCGGGTGCAGAGCGGTGCTGTGGTGCGTGTCTGTCCGTGCTGCCCGGTCGTCGGCATGCTGTGGTCACACCGTGGCCCTTCCTGCCGCCGTGCCGTCCGGTGCTGGCTGTGCAGGGACATGGCCCTGCCAGGGCCGGGTCAGGGCGCAGGGCCTGCTGTGTCCTCCTGCTACAGAAACCACAGACCTGCGGACCTGCAGCAGCTGCGCCTCACACGTGAAGTCCTGACTGACAGCATCAGACGTGGGTCTGCGGGTGCCTCCCCCATGCAGGGCTGGGGCCCAAAGTCGTTGCCAGGACAACGAGGGAGCGCAGTGACTCTGTCCCTGTCCCTTCCCCCAGCTCTGGCGGAAGTTTGCTCGTCTGGCCTGTAACTTCGCGGTGATCTTCATCCCCTGGGAGACGCGGATCAAGAAAATTGAGAGTGAGTTGGCGCTTGGTGGGGAGGCGGGCGGGCGGCCCGGCCTCACACGGTGCAGCGGGGGCACTGGGCCCCGAGGTGCCGCTCCAGGCTGGACACCGGACAGCGGGGACGGGAGACTCGGTGTCTGCCCCACCCTCCACGGACAGTCCACAACCCTCTGCGACTCTGCTGTCCCGTCGGTTCATTCATTAGCCACAACGCAGACCCTGAAGGGTCGCGTGAAAACTGTGTGGGTGAGCAAGAGGGTAAACTGGGCCGTTCCAAAACAAAAGCACAGAAAGTTGCATTGTCACGGGTTTTGCCCCCTTCTCTGCAGGGGTCCCCTGGGCCTACATAGTTCCACGGGGTCCCCCAGCCCCTCTGGGGCAGCGGCTGGCCGAGGGGTGTTCAAGCCCAACCCTGAGTTCAGAGTGTGGCCGACCTGGGCGGCCACTCATTCCCGAGGGTGGGGCAGGTGAGACTCCACTGAGAGCACCCGGTACTCAGTCCCCCCTTCCCTCCAACCCCCACTGCTTCCTCCGGAGTGTTCTTTCCCCTACCCCCGCCGAGTGGCACTCGTCCTGACCCCTCCTCACCTCTGCTTCCCGGACCCCTGACCTCAGGCGAAGAGGCTTCTGCAGAGTTACCCGCCCTGCGACCTCCCGACCTAGGGAGCAGTCAGGCAGCGCGGGACACGTTCAACGTGGGAAAATCCACTTGATGGAACAATAAAGGGGGGTTTTACTCATTTATATAGAAGAGTGTGGTTGCACGTAAAAAACTGGCTTGTAATACGTGGAAAACTCCAGCTGCTCACTTGGGGAGACGCCAGGTGCACAGAAAGTGCACAAAATCGAATTGCGGTGACGGCTGTGGTGTGACGGTCGGTGTAGGGCGTCCAGGGGAGGTGGCGCGGTTTCCTGTTCTCCTGCTTTACCGTGATGCGCACAAACAGGATTTGAAACCAGTTCAAGGTGGGAAAACTCTGCCCGTGCCAGGAGGTCCCCAGAACATCACCCACACCCTCATCTGACCTGTCTGTGGCCCCCCTTTTCTCAACAGAGAGTTGGTTTTACTGTAAAAGGAGATTAGATGTATAGAAAAGTTGTCAAGAGACTTTCCATAACCTCTTCACCCGAACGTTACCATTAAGATTATTTATCATGAAATTAAGGAAAGAGAATCCTTCCAACAATCCTTGAGATCCTCAAAACTATGCAAAATAAAGACACGTGAGATCTTCACAAGAGGCCAATAGTTCGGAATACACGTGGAATGTGGATTCGGTGAAAGTATTTTAGATGAACGTGTCCCCGTGGAGACTGTGTAATTAGGGGATTTTCCTGCGTAAACAACCGGTATTTATTAACGAGCATCTCGTCCACAGCCGAGTCAGGGAACGCCTTTTTGGTAAGAGAGATCGCCGTGTTGCCGATCTACGGAGAACTTCTCGTCCTGTGGGCGTGTAAGGGGACCTGTGGGCTCTTTCTCATCTTTCTCCAGGTCATTTTGGGTCCGGGGTCGCCTCCTACTTCATCTTCTTGAGATGGCTGTTTGGGATCAACATCGTGCTCGCGATCATGACAGGAGCTTTTATTGTCGTCCCGGAGGTAAGTAAGGACCGTCTGGCAAATCCTATGTCTTCAAATTGGGGAAAAAGAATCCTTAGGAAAATTCCCTGGCATTCTCAAAATGCCAAATAAAAAAGACGCACAAAGTATCTGTTTTAGAGAAAAAAAGTGCCGTCTGTTAAAAAGGCCCCTAGGGCACCGCCGTCCCAGGGCCTCCCTCCACATCCTGCAGGAGGTCGGTGCGCGGAGCCCGGGCGCCTGGCGTGCGTCCGGAGAGTCGGTGTGCTGGGCGTGGGGCCTCACCATCCCCCACCCCCCCAGGCTGTGCCGGGCACTGGGACTGTGTGCACACCTCGTGGGGCCCAGGTCCCAGCACAGCTTGATGCACAGATTCCGAAACTCAGCTCCGTGCAGTTGTGTGTTGGAAAACACTGTTCTGAGTTGGGGTTTTTTTTTTTCCAACCACTTAGAAGCCATTCTCAGCTCAAGGGCCATATGAAAGGAGATGAGAGGCTGGATTTGGTCTGTGGGCCAGTTTGTGGACACCCTGTTAAAATACCATCTATTTCTCAACGAAACCTTATATTCAAAAAGTAAACAGGGAAAAAGAGTAAAGGGGGCCATTTCCTTCTCCACTGGAGAAGGGCAGGGACCTCAACAGCCCGCCCGCAGAAGCCCCCTCCAGCCCGGAGGGAGGACCCTGAGGCAGGCTCTGGTCAGGCAAAAGGAAAACCGGGCCACGGTGACTGATTCTCCGTCGGTGAGGATGGAGCCGACGTCCGCCCTGGAGGTGTTCACGGCCCTTCTCTCCTCCCTGCCCAGCTCGTTGCAGGCCAGCCCTTCGGGAGCACGGCCAGCAAGAGCGTCCCCGAGGCCCAGGTGGCTTCAGCCCGAGACCTGGACACCGTCTGGTCCCTGGGGGTGAGGCTGGGCACGGCCACATGCGTGTCGGGAGGGAGGGAGGGAGGGAGCCAGGCCTGACGCCGGGTGTCTGTCTCCGCAGGGCTACCTCCAGTACTCGGTCCTCTTCTACGGCTACTACGGCCGGGCTCGCCGGATCGGGAGAGCCGGCTACCGGCTGCCCCTGGCCTACTTCCTGGTGGGCATGGCCGTGTTCGCTTACAGCTTCATCATCCTTTTAAAAAAGTACGGCCGCTCGGGGTCTCAAAACAGGTGTCGGGAATGACGTGTGAGATCTCGTTCAAGCTCGTCCATAACTCCGTCTGCACAGGCGCCACTGCGCCCACTGTGCAGGCCTGAGGGCCTGAGCCTGCCTGGCCCAGCGCTCACTGAACACCACTGCTCCGTGCCCAGCCCCGGGCTGGCCCTGGGGAGACTAGTCGAGGGCTCAGCCGCTGGTGTGGCTGTGGACAGTGGAGGGGCAGCCTGCCCTCTGTGGGCAGAGCTCCCCCGAGACTGATTAGCCCACAGGAAAGCATTTTCTTCCACACACACAGCTGCACCCGGTGGGCTGGGCTGGGCTGGACCCCGGGGCCCACGCACTTCAGTGACCTCCTGGCCACCACAGTGGGGGGCCTTTTGTCAAAGGGCGTCACCCAGCAACAGGCCATTTCCATTTTCACTTCCACGTTGATCAGAGGGGCCGCAGGTGGGGCTGAACCGGCGGGTGCCCCGACTCACGCAGAGGCGCGGCAGGGACAGTGGCAGCCCCCGGTGGGCAGCCTGTTCCCGGCACTGTCCTCACGTGACCGGCTGTGGGCCCTCTTTCCCAGGATGGCTAAGAACTCCCGCACCAGCCTCGCCAGCGCCTCCAGCGAAAACTACACCTTCTGCTGGCGGGTGTTCTGCGCCTGGGACTACCTCATCGGGAACCCAGAGGCCGCGGAGAGCAAGGCCGCTGCCATCGTGAACAGCATCAGGGTGAGTGGCGCTGTGTCGGCGGCTGTGGGGGTGGCGGTGGGGGGAGGTTTGGGGTGCAGAGTCTGGGCTCTCCCAGCCCAGCGACTTCAGCTCAGACCTGGGGGAGAATGCGCCCCGACCCACCCTCCATCCAGCCCAGCACAGGGAGAAAATGTCGGACCTTCTGTTTTTTAATTTCATTTCTCAAGTTTCAGTTTTGTTTTTATTTAATTGGCATCATGGATTGCTACTGCATCGCACACAGAACACTCGTAAATGAGTAAGCTTTGTGCGTGTGAACTTAGGAAGCCAGTGCCGTCTTTAAAGCGCTCGGAGGCCGGGCCCTCCTGAGCCGGCAGGCAGGTAAATGCTGTGCCCTTTTGAGGCAAACAGTTTTCGGATCATTTCCGATTTCTGAATTGTCCGTTCCTCCGTCTCTCCTCTTCCCAGTCCCCAGTGTCCGCTTTTACTCATTTATTATCTGAAGCCTGGACACCAACCGAATCCCGTAGTGAGGTCGGGACTCTGATGGGCTCGCGATGTAAAATCCTGGGTGGGCAGTGTCTGACCGTGACCTGCGCCTGCAGACTCACGACTCACGGTGGTGCCTGTGCGTCTTTCCCCAAGGAGGCCATCCTGGAGGAGCAGGAGAAGAAGAAGAGCAAGAACCTGTGCGTACCGGGACTCCGTGAGCCGCGCACAGATGCGCGGCTTTAACCCGGCCCAGGAGCTGCCGGGCGGGCGCTCTGCTCTGTCTTCCTTTCGCACGCTGTCAGCCACCTCTTCCTTCCCCTGGGAATCTCCCCCCCCCCCCGCCCCGGGATGTGATGCGTGGCAACCCCGTGGTTTTCCGCACCAGTGTTTGGGAGCAGGTCCTTCCTCCCTGGGCCCGGCCACAGGGGGCGGGTTGGAAGCTGACCAGCTCACTGTTCTTTCCCGTGGATAATGGGAGGCGGTTTTAGCGCCAGGGGCTACTTCGCTCAATTGAGCAGAGACTAGTTGTGTGTAGCAACGTCCCTGCAAAGTCAGAGGATTCAGATAGTTTCCTGGTTTTGGTGACACACCCACCAAGGTGACTGACTTCTCAGGCCTGAAGTTCTCGGGGTCTTGAAGGCCACCTTGGTGAGGGCGGGGCCCTTCAGCCGGAGGACCGATGTCGTGGAAGGGCTGTCCCGGAGAAGGGGCACTGTCCCCAGGACCCGTGTGCCCATCCGCCGTCCCGACACGGCCTTGCCCCCAGGTGCCGTCCTCACGTCTGCCTCGCTCCACAGGGCGGTGACCATCTGCCTGAGGGTGGTCGCCAACATCCTGGTGGTCCTCTCGCTGGCCGGGAGCATCTACCTCATCTACTTCGTGGTGGACCGGTCCCAGAGGCTCGAGCAGTCCCAGAGGGAGCTGACGCTCTGGGAGAAGAACGAGGTACCGCACTCGGTGGCCTCCCTGCCCCCGCTCCCTTGGCGTTTCTCCGTGGGCGGGCTGCAGACTCTGCCAGGGGGCTCGGCCGAATGCCGCTGCCCGGCTCCGTGGGGGCAGGAGTAGAGTCAGAAACAGCTCCGAGCAGGTGCTCGTCCTTCACCTTTGAATTTCTCGCCGTGCTCTGCTTTTCCCGTGTGGCATTTCCTCAATGACACGTTCCCAGAAACTGACCCCACGGCAGGCCTGCGTCACGGCCGCATTGGGGGCCAGCGCCAGTGCCCCCGCTGAGCCCACCCAGGGCCGCGCAGTAGCCCCCACAGCCCCACGCACGGGCAGGGCCTCCCGGCCCAGCTCCACACCTGCGGCTTCCCTCCGTCACTGTGAAGGAAGTCACCAGGGGGAGGCTACGAACAGTTGTGTCACTCTCAGCATTTGTGACCGCACCTGTGTCCCCAGCGCTCGGCCCAGTGTGGAGGCTGAAAGGCAGAAATGGCCCGCGTGCTGCCTGGCGGGCCTCACCGGTGCCGGCAGAGGGCTGGTGCCGGGGGCGTCAGCGCGCGGTGTGGGGGTGACGCGGTCCTGCTGGTGTACCCTCAGAGCTCGGTAGTTTTTCCCAGTCTGAGGCCACGCGGATGATCCCCACCGTCCCTCTGTCCACCCCGTGTCACCTCAGCGGTTGCGTGGGTGTGGGCATGTGTTCGGAAAGGCGGGTTTCTGAAAGGAAAACCAGAGCCGTTTCTGGAGCTCACAGCGCCGTGCGCCTGCTGCAGCCCCCCTGCGTCGGCCGTGAGTGTGGACGGACCGGGGCAGGCCTGCCCTCCGACTCCGACCTTCCCGGTACAGAGGGAGCAGCAGTGTCCTCGCGGCCGCCCCTTCGCTCTGCTTGACAGTGGCAGGAGGTGGCCGTAAGGAACACGGCCACTGGGAGCTGGCAGCCGCGGCAGTGAACGGCGCGCAGGGGTGTGTCCGGTTGGAGGAGGTCCCCTTGGCGGAATGAACCCAGGACACAAAGGGGACGTCAGGCTGAGGGCCGTGCTGTGGCCCTCGGGGCCTCACGGGCAGCACTCTCTCGGCAGGTGAGCGTGGTGGTCTCCCTGGTGACCATGCTGGCGCCGTCCGCCTTCGACCTCATCTCGGCCTTGGAGAGGTACCACCCAAGGACCACACTGCGCTTCCAGCTGGCAAGGTGCTGTGCGTCGCCCTGTGGAAAATGCCCCAGTGTGGGTCCCCTCGCGGTCCCCCAGCGGGAAGCCAGGGTCCTCAAGATCCAGGGTTTGGTTCACTGGCCCCAAAACTTAGCACAGAACTTCCATGTGGGTGCCTCTCAAGGCCAGCAGGGGGCACCGGGGAGACGGGGGAGGAGGGGGCAGAGAGACAGGGAGGTGGGGCATGAGGAAGGAGCAGATGGGGAAAGCGGGCACCAGAGAGAGGACCAAGATGGCAGAGCAGACGCCTGGCCTCTCCCTGCTGCGTCCTCCGTGGCTGGTGGGGGGGGGGTGTGGAGATGGGTGGGAACCGTGTGCTTTTCCAAATGGAGACTGATGGAAAGCTCGGTCTCTAATTTCCAAAGAGCTGCTTGGGGATGAGGGGTCAGCGCAGACCTGACCCACAGCGGTCCCGGGATCCACGCTGTGGGGGTCAGAGCAGCTGCCACTTTCCGTTTCTAGCGCCGGCTTCTTCCCTGTCTACCTGCAAACCCCCTTCCCTCAGGTCTTCTTACCTGCAGGTTAAGCCAGGAGGTTTGGGGAGGAGTGATAGACTGGGCCCCGCGCACCAGCCCCAGCCCACCAGGCCTGTGCTGGTCGCGCAGTGTCCCCTGTGACTCGAGCTCCTGCTGCAGAGCCAGCCTCCCACGGCCCCTGTGGGGAGCGGGTCCCTCTTCCGGAGCGGGCCGGTGCTTCCTGTAGGCTCATGGCTGCAGGTTTTGCGGGCGATGCGACCTCTGTTTTACCAGCCAAGCTCTGAGGCTGCAGTGGCAATTTGACCTCTCAGGAACCAGAGGGTGTGGCCAGGTCCCTCACCACTTTATATACAAAATATGGGCAAATGTAGCACTGGACACAGAGGCCGTAATCTGCCACCCTCTGGAGCCACCTGCCACTGCAGAGGAGGAAGAACAGGAGCAGAAAGAGCCAGGGCCTGCAGAACCCCCGCACGCAGGGCCTTTCCGGGGTGATCGGGGGCTGTGTCTGGGCACCTGGTCTCCCCAGCTGCTCCCCGAGTCCTGGAGCGGAGCGTGCAGCGCCGTCCGGTGGGGGAGTCCCTGCTGTCCCTGCGTTGGGTCTGACAGCAGCGCCCAACTGCACAGAGGGGCCTCGTCACTCATACTCTGAACTAGAGACGCGGGCATCGAGTTCTGGTGACAAGGGCAAGACAGACTACCTTTCTTTTTAAATCCTCACCGGAGGGTATGTTTATTGATGTTAGAGACAGAGGAAGGGAGAGAGAGAGAGAGGAACATCGATCGGTCGCCTCCCACACACACTCTGCCCGGGGATGGAACCCAAAACCTTTTCTCCTGCACAGGACGCAGCTCCAACCAGCTGAGCCAGCAGCCGGGGCAGGGTGCGTTCCCTTAGCCCGCAGACCCGCCAGCCCGCCCTGTGCCTTTTACCCAGGCACAGGGGCCGGTCCTGGGGGTGGCACGGCAGGGCCTGCAGCCTGCGGCTCTCCCCTGAACCAGTGCTCACGCGGTTTGCTGGGGTCCTGGCATGGCACCAAAAGCAGTCTTTTCAGGGGGCCACAGGGGACACGGGCTGCCCTGCCTGCTCTCTGCTCGACCCTGCGCACAGGCGTCAGCTCCGCACCCAAGGAAGGGGGGCAGCGGGGAGATGGGGTTCTCGGAGTTGGAGTTCGGCCTCTTCTCTGTGGGATGGAGCTGCCTCTCTCTTCCCTGCGTTGGTGCTGGCTTTGCTCAGCGTGCTGGGCACCCAGCAGTGCGGGCCACAGCGCAGCCCCCTGGGAGGTGGGCGCCCCAGTCCCTGACCCCTCGGTTGAGGGAGCAGGGCGGGCTCTGGGTGCTGTATTTTGGGCGTGCGCCCAGGGTGGCAGCCACTGGGTTAGCATTGCTGTGACAGCCACTCCTCCATGGTGGCGGGTCTGGAACCACCGGCTTCTGCGGTCTTGTCTCTCAGGGTCCTGGTGCTGTACCTGGGGAACCTCTACAGCCTGATCATTGCGCTGCTGGACAAGGTCAACAGCATGAGCACCGAGGTGAGTGGCCGCCTGAGGCAGCAGCCGCCTGCCCGCCCACTGCCACACACACAGACGGACACACCGACACATGCAGAGACAGGCACGCACAGACAGACAGACGCATGCACAGACACCCCTGCAAGACGGACACACACCAGGGTGGTGGTCATTGTCATCGACGTCACTGCCTGCGTCTGCTCTCCCTGTGTTGCCTGTGGGCTTCTCAAGGCGAGAGGAAAATCAGCCCCGTTCTCAAGGTGAACGAACCGAGGCCTGGGCTGGTGGCGAGGAAGTGACCGTGGTGGGACCAGAGCGTGTGCGGGTCTCTGGACGGCGACTCTCCCCGTCTGCTGTCCCGTTGCCGTGGGCGCCACCAGCAGACGCTGTTGACACCTCTCGCAGCCGATGAGCAGGCCGAGGCTCGGAGAACAGAGCCGCACCAGCACTGAACGCCAGGGGCGTGAGGCAGAAGAGGGGACAGTGGCAGCTGGGCGTCCAGGCTGGGACTTGGGGGCCCAGACGGGGCCCTGACCTGCCCCTCACCGGCTGAGGGGCTTCGGACGTGACTTCAGGGGGCTGAGCTTAGCCCCCACGCGTGCTCGCCCGACAGGGTGGGGGTGAGGAGACGTGACCTGTCTTACCCAGAACGCAGTCAGACGGCTGCCGAGAACCGCTCAATGCCGTGCCTCCCGGCTCCTTGTTCCGGCGCTGGGGCCGAGTCTGGTCTGGGGGCCCTTCTGCCCTGCTGGAGAGGCAGAGATGGGGACGGAGGGACAGAGGTCTTGAGGGGGTTATCCCTGAGCAGGGCACCGATGTCCTTGTACCCACGGCGGCCACGAGCATGTGGACAACCTTCATCCTTCCCTCCCTCCCTCCACAGGAAGCTGCTGCCAAAACCAATACCAGCCACTGGCTGGATGCCACTCCCGTCTTTGCCGGCAGGCCAGTCCCCGCAGGGGGAAAGTGGTCCACGCCGGGGCCGGGGAGAAACAGCACATGGGCCTTGGCATCGGCCGGCGTCCTGGCTTCCACCTGGGCCCCCTCCGCGGCCAACCAGACCACCGCCGACGCCCCGCAGGACCAGTGCTGGGAAACCTACGTGGGGCAGGTGCTCCCCTCCCCCTGCGAGGCCTTCCCGGCCCCGTCTGCCCCCGACTCCTGCAGCCCTCCCCAGTGTCACTGTCCCTCGTTTATAGAGAAGGACAGTGAGGTCCACCCATGGTGCCGGGCTCTCCCGGTCTCCACGTCAGTGACAGTGACAATCAGAGGCTCACGTCAGGTTGCCTGGTCAGCTGGGCCCCGTTCTGAGTACTTAGGCCTCAGGAGAACCCTACCGTTACCATCGTTATAGGTGCAGGTGAGGAAACCGAGGCACAAGAGGTTGAATGGCTTGTCCAAGGACACAGAGAGGACAGGCACCTGCCCCGGGCGCTGCTCCGACCCCGTCTTCCACGCACTGCTTCACACAGAGCCTCAACCCTGAGCTCTGGGCCCCGAAACTGATCCACAGGCCTCATGAGCGCCTGCTGCTGAGACCCACAGACCTCAGGCTTCTCCTGCTTCCATGCACCCACCACGGATGTCAAAACCCGAAGGAGCCCATGTTCACGGAGCCCCATTATGTGGCAGGAGTGCATTAGACAGGCCAGGGCCTCCGGCCCCCAGGAGTGAACAGCTGGGGACCTGAAGGGAGAGGGGGGCAGGGTGGGGCCGGGCCTGGTGCACCGAGGGCACATGCGTTTCAGGAGATGCTGAAGCTGTCCATCATCGACATGATCTTCACCGTGGCCAGCGTCCTGCTCATCGACTTCTTCCGGGGCCTCTTCGTCCGGTACCTCAGTGACTACTGCTGCTGGGACCTGGAGAGCAAGTTCGTAAGTGAGAGGCTGCCCTTTCGGGGAAGCCTGAGTGGCCAGACCCGTCCTGTCCTGGCCTCTGGGTGGGCGGGGGGCAGGTGTGAGGGACGAGGGAGAGACTGGACAGAGCCGAATCCCCGCCTCGCTCTGCCCAGCCAAGGGCGGTCCCCACGTGTCCCTGCGAGCCAAGCAACTCCCGGTGATGAGCTGCCCGTGCGTGCTTCTCTTGCAGCCGGAGTACGGGGAGTTCAAGATCGCGGAGAACGTGCTGCACCTGGTCTACAACCAGGGCATGATCTGGTGGGTGTCGCCGCCCCTTCCTGGCCTTGCTCAGAGCTCCTTCCGCCAGGGCTTCTCCCTAAGTCTGGCAGGACGTGGCCGTGACAAACCCAGTTCCCGCCCAGTTCCCGCCAGCTGACCCGGCCCTTCACTCCCAAAACTCTCTCGCCTTGGACGGTCCACGCTTTTATTTATGAACGGGGAAATCCCCTCATTTCCCCAGCCCCACCTTCCAGGTCTGCAGACTTTGGGCAGTTACCTCCTCTTTTGTGATTGCCAAATATTAAATGAGGTAAAATGCGTGAGGTCAAGCGGGAAATGTATTAGCCCTCATCACAGACAAGTGGAGAGCCGGCAGTGGTGGTAGTCTGTGATTCACCTCGCCACCAGGAGAGGGCGCTCCCTTCCTCAGCAGGTGTGAGGAGAAAGACGAAGAGGGTATTTGAAAGGACAGCTACTCTCCTGCAGAAGAGACTTGCTCTGTCTGTGGAAGGTGGAAGGTCGGGGGCCCAGACCCTGGGGGGGGCTTCCCCAGTTCTTTAGGTGCAGGCAGGGTGTAGGCCCCAGGGTCTCAGAACCACGGCAGCATGAAGAGAACGCGTCCTCACTGGCGCCCCCCTCGGTTGCAGGATGGGGTCCTTCTTCTCCCCGTGTCTCCCTGCCTTCAACGTCCTCAAACTGGTTGGGCTCATGTACCTGAGAAGCTGGGCCGTGCTCACCTGCAACGTGCCCCACCAGCAGGTGTTCCGGGCGTCCAGGTGAGTGGGACCCCGCCCGTGTCACCGGGAGAACTTACCGCGCAGGCCTCATCCGCAGTAAGTTGCACGCCTGGGCGTCCCCCAGCAGGGCTCCCAGCGCCCCGCCCGTCCCCCGGGGCACCTCCTCCAGGAAGCTGTCCTGGGGTCGCGCTCTCGGAAGTGGTTGCCACTCCGCACACCACGCTTTGAGAGACTGAGGGGTCCCGGAGTGCAGCAGTCCCCTCGAAAGTGCGCTCTCTCAGAAACCCGCCGAGACATGGTCGGGAAAGAGCACGGGAGTGTGACCAGCACCCAGATCGGGAACGACAGGCTGTCCCAGAGAGGCCCTGGCCCTCTGGGGTGCCCTCAATGGCGACCTGGCAGCACCCCTCGTTCCGCCAGGGCTCCCTTTCTGAGGGTGGAGTTGCCCTCGCAGCCTTGCCTGGTTTCTGGCTTCTCTCCCTCATGTCTCTGAGGACAGGGCCCCAGGGCCTGCATCCGTGCCGAGGGTGGGCGCAGGGCTTGTTCCCAGCTCCCGGGCCTTCTCCTCGGTGCCTTTTGCTGGGAGACACCCAGGCGTGCACCAGCTGGGTCGTGGGGCGTGCGCTTGTTCACACTTAGCCAGACCGCAAGCAGAGGTTTCCTGCGTGGTCGCGCCCTGGACCCTCCTGCAGCATTATGGGAGGGGCCCGTTGCCCGACCACCGAAGCAACGCTTGTGTTCCCCCTGTGGTTATTTCAGTTTGAGGAGCTCAGGACACAGTTCAAACACGTTAATTCCAGCTCATCAAGCTCAATTACTTTATTCTGACATAATAGTTGTCATGTGGATTTCTACTGTGGAGTTTCGTGCTTTTTGACCACGACCGAGTGAGATCTGCACAGTGTGTGTGTGGTGGGTGTGGGTTCACCTAGTAGAAAGAGAGAGGCTTCACCCGTTAGCCCTCGCCAGCCCGCCACGTTCTGTGCGTTCTGGTATTTCTCTCCTTGTCCAAACCGTGGGACTAAAGACCAAGGTGAAGGAGCTAGCGGAGAGTCCCCACAGGGATGGACACCCATGCCTTCTGCAGACTCGAGCGCCCGCTCGGGCCCAGGGGCCTCAGTGAGCAGAGCGCTTCCCCTGAGCAGCCGGGAGCAGGCAGGGTGAGAGGCAAGAGAGGCGAGAACTGTAGGTGAAGGAGCCCAGCCTCCCTGAGACACCAGCAATGAGTTCGAGGTGTGGACAGGGCGGGGAGCCCCCGGGTAAGGACCCAGGTCGGGGGAAGAGAGGTTCTAGGGATTTTCCATGAACTCAGCTTCTCCGGTGACGGCCATGGGTTTGCCTCTCCCTCGGTTCCAGGTGGGCAGGTGCTCAGGTGATGTGCAGGGAACGGGCCAGTCGGGCTGGGCGGCCCGTGACCCTGTGACAGACCCCCTCCTAGACTGCGGGGGCAGACACCTCCTCTGTGGAGCAAGGCAGGTTTCCATGTCCATGCTCCAGGCGTAGGTCACTGGCGCCTGGCCACGAGGGACCTCAGTGCCCAGCCGCCGGCATCTTGCAGGTCCAACAACTTCTACCTGGCCACACTGCTGTTCATGCTCTTCCTCTGCATGCTGCCCACCATGTTCGCCGTCGTGCGGTACAGGCCGTCTGCGCACTGCGGGCCCTTCAGGCAAGTGCTCACGTCCGCCCCTGCCCGCCCCGCGTGGGGCCGTCCTCCCCCTGCTCACAGAGCAGGGCCCCGGGCCAGCGCGCTCCTTGGGAGCGGGCTTCCCTCCACTGTGCCCGTCTGGGCACCACTCACAGAGGTGCAGCCCGCGCGGAGCCGGAAAGGACAGCGGCCTTGCTCCGGCACCAGAAGAAGCTTCTTCCTGCCCAGTCCGCCCCTTCCAGGACGCGGAAGGTTTTTACTGAATGATCGTCCCCATCGTTCTTCCCATTGTCACGCGTTGGGGCAGAAACCCCTCGAGTGAAGGCCACCGAGCACGTACCCGTCCCGATCCGCTTACGGAACGTGTGCCATTTAGAGTGTGCGTTCGTGTGCACTGTGAGAAGACGCACACACCTGTGCCTCCGACCCACCTTCACAGCTGCGTGTTAACTGGGTGACCCCGCAGGCCACTGCCGGGGCGACGCTGCCTGTCCTTTACGTCCGGGCGTGGGCTCCCACTTGGGATCTGACTTCGAGGAGTGCACGCCAGCCAGCCAGGAGCCACGGTTCTCTCTCTCTCTCTCTCTCTCTCTCTCTCTCTCTCTCAGCGGACAGGAGAAGATGTACGACATCGTTTCAGAAACGATCGAGAGGGACTTCCCCGCCTGGTTCAGCTCCGTGGCCGGGCACGTCAGCAGCCCCGTGGTGGTCCTGCCCGCAGTGCTGCTGCTCTTGTGAGTGCCACACACGCCCCCGCACCGGCCCTGGGGGTCGCCGCATGTTTGGCCAGCTAGGGAGCGCTGCTTCCCAACAGCCACATGAAGTCAGTGAGTCTGCACGTCACTCACGGGCCCCGAGGACCTAAGCAGGGACTGCGGACAGGCAGGAGCCACAGCGTGGCTGATGTGTCCGCTGTGAGGGGTCAAAAGGCATCACCACCGTCTGGTTCCCCAGAAGGCCGGGCGGGCCCCTCACAGTGCAGCCGGGCAGCTTCCGCCGGCTGCGGGTTCCCAGACGCAGTGCTACGGGCCCAGTAGACCGTAAACGCCGGTCCCGTCTTCGTGCCTCCCTCACCACCGAGACCCGGGCGGGATCCCGGCCAAGGGGGGGTTGCCGTGAAAAGCAAGGCAAGGACAGGAAAGCAGCCCCGTCCCAGCGCTCACGGGCTGAGGACTGCTGAGACCTTCGGTGCTCGCGAGGGGGAGGGGCTGGCCCCCAGGTAGCCTGGGATCCCGTCTGCTGCCACCCACCGGCCGAGGCGCGCTGAGCGCCCTGTGCTGTTCTGCCCCAGCATGCTCATCTACTACCTGCAGAGCATCGCGCGGTCCCTGAAGCTCACCAACCACCAGCTCAAAATGCAGATCCAGAATGCAAGTATTGCGTCTTTGCGGTCGTGCGCGTGTGTGTCGGCCACGTGCCGGGACCCGCCAGCAGGGGGCGCTAGTGAGGTCTCCGCGTTTTTCCACCTCAGGGCTCTAGGCTGCCTGGTAGGGGGCAAGGCCCCTCCTGCTCCCTCCCAGGATCCCCCAGAGTCATTTCTAAGAAGCGCCCCCCCAGGCTCTGGGATGGCGCCCACCTTCCCAGGAACGAGACTGCCTGTGCTTTCTGATGCCCGGGCACTTCAGCTCCAGCTGTAGCCGTGCCCGGTGCTCTGAGTGTGGGCTGTGCTGCCGAGGAGGGGAAGGGAGAGGGGCCCAAAGGCCACGTCTGGGGCCAGAGGCCGCCCTTGTCATATCGTCCATTCCAGTGGTCCTCACCCAGTCTCCCCTCTGGGCCTCCGACCTGCGCCCTCAGAACAGTCAGGGGGCGCCCAGCCCTCCCCTGCCCCTCCACAGTCCCCCTCCGCCCCGCACACCCCCGGGGCAGCACCAGGGCCGGGCGAGGGAGGCACGGGTGTCCCCTCCGAGGAGGCCCGGACTCTCCAGGTCGCACGCAGCCGTGCGCGGTGCCGTAAATGCGGCCCTGGCTGCCTCCCTGGCCTCGCCCCGTGGTGGCCATCTCGGGTGGCAAAGGGCGTTTTGGGTAAAAGACGTGTCTCCCGTGGGGGCACTTTACAATTTGTCGTCATTGTATGGGGCCAGTCGCTCGGCTTCCAGGCCTGAGCCCGCGCACGCTGTCCCCCGGGGGCCGTGTCCCTGCCGCCCCGGCCGCGGGTGGGAGCAGTGCTGCCCGCGTCACTTCCCCCAGCAGCAGTGTTCGTGAGCACTTCCTGCTACACACCAGCACACGTGTGATCGTCGTTTGTGTTCTAGGCAAGGTCGGAAGATAAGAGAAAGGTCGCCCAGAAGGCGGGAGGTGAGTGATGGTCTGTGGCGGCCGGGCATCTAGAAACAGCAGCGGGAGGCGCCAGCAGGAAGTCACCACGAACTGCGGTCCCGCTGTCTGTGGGCACACTGAAATAAGACCTAGGGGTACAAGGGCGGTTTAAGTCTAAGATTTCTACGTTATACCCAGGCCTGTGGCTAAAACACGTCTGAAATCAGGAGATTTTGAAGTAGGAGAGAAATGGCAGCAAAAAACCCCGGAGAAACCCTGTAAGAATGTAGGCGAAGGTCTTGTTCACTCGCGCGCACTTCTGTCCGCGCCCCATTTCTTCCCTGTGCCCCCATCAGTCCTCAGGGAGGATTCCACACCCGAGACACGTCCCCTCCCGTGGTCTCCAGCTGCACCCAGAGCTCAGAGGGGAGAGGAGACACACCCCAGGGACAGCGGGACTTAGGAGCCAAAGTCTGGTGGCCTGAGAGCTGCAGACCGACTCTCTGGTCTGCTTTGCTTCTGAGCTGATTGGAGGGGGCCGCTCCACGGTGGGCGGAGGCCTCAGGGTCCTGAGTCCCGTGGGCTGTGCAGGGACAGTCCCGTGGAAAGAGCCTGCAGCCCCCAGGGGGAAAGCCCACTCCGCTCTCATGGTCCAGTGCTATGTCCTGAGGCAGCTCGAGGGCTTCGTCGGGGTAACGGTGGACCTGTCCGGTGTCTGCTTTCCAGTCCAGGCCACATACTTTTTTCCAGAACGCCCTGCGACCTGTTTCCAGAAATCCGTAACTGGCACAGAAGCTTTATTTCTCCGTTGCACATTTCTGTTTCTGGGAGATCCAGAGCTCGGGTGCTGGGGAAGCACCCCTTTGCCTCCTGGGGCTCCCGGCGGTGCACCTACAAAACCTGGGGTCGGCCTGGCCCCTCTTGCAGTACCTTCCCGCCCGGGCTTTCTGTGCCTTCGGAGACGTTTGCTGCCCCGGGGTCGGTGTGTCTGCCGGTGCCGGCCCTTGCTAGTTGAACCAGCTGCTGGAAGTCAGGCACCCTTGCAGCTACGCAGGCCTGAACGCGCCAGCCCGAGGCATGTTCTCAGAGCCCTCCCTCTTTCTGCAGCCCGAATCCAAACCCAGGAGGAAAGCGCCAAGAGGCTTGCAAAGGACAGTGACCTCAGTAGCCAGCTGTCCCTGACTCGCTCGGTGACGCCCCAGAGCAACGGCCACGTGGTCAGTTTCCACTCATCAAGCAGCAGGAGTGGCAGGGTGGGGACGGTCACCCGGCCCATGCCCCGGAGTCCCCGGCCCGGGCCCGGCAGCCCCAGCTCGCCCCTTCCTGGCATCTCCAGACTCCGGCCGGCACGGGACGCCAGCCGGTGAGCATGCAGAGTGGCGGCACCTGCCTCTTGGACGGGGCCACAGCGCTGGCCTGATACTGTGGTTCTGGGCTGGGCACGTCGTCAGCAAGATCCTGTCTGCTACGCGGGGCCACAGGGTTTGTCTCTCTGGCTGTTGTGAGAGAGCCACGCCCCCACCTGGTGCTCCCACCACACTCGGGCAGGAGAGGGTGTCCGCGTGGCACAGTGGAAGCAGTGCAGATAAAACACAGCCGGGGGGGTGTAAACACAATGACCCAGGCCACAGAGGACCGCGCTGTATGCGAGGTCACCTACACGTCCCCGTGGGGCCCTGACGAGGACAAGGGGCCCCACCAGTCCCAGCAGGCTCTGGACAGCTGTGTGGCAGGGGCGTGAGGCGCGTGCTCCTAACACGTGCCCCACCGATGCCGGTCCCACTGTGTGCTCCTGGGACGTGCTAGCAAAGCCCCCTGTGCGCTCCCTGGAATTGCGTGGGGCCCCTCGTCTTGCAGGGCTCTGGGCGTTGCCGCAGAGAAGAGCCCTGGTCAGGGTCCCAGAGCCCCGGGCGTGTGGCCCCTGGGCACCCCGTAACACGTGTGTGGCCGCTCTGTCCCACAGGCACCCACGTGGTCCGTGTCCAGGAGACCGTCCCCAGAGCAGACCCCGCCCCCCGGTGACATTTACACAGCACGTGGAGGACGTTCACTCGGAGCCTCTTCTGCGAAAAGACTCGGGGGTCTCAGCCTTGGCGCCGCCTGCTCCCAGGCCCCGCGCCCCCAGGTACTATGTCGTTAGTGAGCGTGACTCCCACAGAGCCCACCCAGGACTCTGGCCCGAAGGACACTTCCAGACAGATGCCTTGGGGGACGGTGTGGAGAGGTGCACCAGGAACGTGCGGCCCTGCGTCGTGTCCTGGGCTGCCCAGCGGGCTCGCCCTGCGCTGCCGAGTGAGGACGAGGAGACACTGCGGGGAGGGCCGAGCTGCCGGCCTCCGCACCCGCGCTCCCAGGCAGACCTGCGCGGGGAGCCTCGCTTTCATGCTGGCCACAGGGCCGGGAGGCAGACCCCAGCTCCTGAGCACCAGGGGCGGGGACACCCCAAGTCTCGGAAGGACGTTTTGGGCGGCCGCCTCGGCAGGCCAGTGCAGGGGCAGAGGAGGCCGCGCCCCAGGCATTGCCAACACCTGCCGCACCCCGGGGGGCCCTCGGTCAAGCCCAAGTGCGAGCCGTCCCTCACAGACTCTGATTCCACGTCGGCGGCGTCCAGCAGCGGCCTGGACCAGTACCTGCAGGTTTCCCACAGACACGGCAGGGCCCCGAGGCGGGTGGGCCGCGTCGGCCGCAGGGAGGCCCCATGGAGGCAGGAGCTGACCGTGGACCCGACCGACCTGGTCTGTTCCAGCGTCTGACAGGTGCTTCTGGCATTGGGCTGGTGAGGGCGGGCCTCCCAGAGAGCCGGGGGGCCTGACGGCGGGCACCCCTTCTGGAGAGAGACACACGCTTGTGCCGGGTGGGGGGTGGGGTCTGAGGGCTTCAGGCTCCAGGGGACCCAGGACGGCAAACAGCCGGGGGGTCTATCAGTCTCCTGGTCGCTGACTTGTTCTCTCCCCCTGCCCACAGGCCCCCTCCCGGCCGCGGGGAGTTCCAGGAGGGCAGCACCCAGCTCGTGAGCCCGGAAAGGACAGAGCTGTCCCTCCCACTCCAGGCCATCTTCCCTCTCAGGGCTGCACCCTGTTCCCCGTCACCGTGGGGGTCACACAGCCCACCAGCCTGCACCCCTGCACCCCCGTTTCCGTGACAACCCGTCACTCCAGACTGTGCCTTTGCAGTCCCCTTCCCCTCCCCCTGAGGGCCTTGGGGACGGAGATGGTGTTCACTCCTTTGTCACAGGCACCTGAAAGACACTGTGGAACGTCCTTTTCTAATAGAGGTGTCCCCGGGAGTTCCATGACCAGGGTCCCCTACCCACACCCTTGGTTGGGGGTTGTGATGTCAAGCTCTCGGGGACACTGGACTGGAACGTGCTGGGAAGCTGGGCCCGGTCCCGGCCTGCAGGCGCGCCGTCTGTGCGAGGCGGGGAGGTCGTGAGGGTCGCCCCCACACCCTGCGTGGGACAGTGGGAAGGCCGGGACAGCACCCGTGCTAGCAGCGGCCTTGAAGGAAGTCTCGCAGGCCCAATCAGAGCCGGCGCTGCCCCACACGCGGCTCCACCCCCACCTCACTCCCAGGACTGCGGCGCGTGTCCCCGTCGTTCATGTCACACGTAGTAGACGTGTGTGAACATGCACGCATTGGCGTCCGCCGTGCGTTGCCCGTGTGAGTGCCCGTCCCACCCACGCACTGTGCGCCCACCCACGTCTGCCGGTCTGACAAAGGCGTGCACGGACCTTCCCCTCACCGCTCCCCGCGGCACGGCCCTGTACCCCGAGAATAAAGCGTGCGGTGGCACTGAAGTCACTCCCACCGCGTAGCCCACGGTCGTGGGGCACTAAGTCCTTCCCACGTGGCTTGTGTGGCGCCTGGGGAGTGCGTGCGGGTTTCCCGGAGCCGAGACACCGGGCCCCTGGGCGGCGACGTGTCCAGGCTCACCACCCGCCCCTCTGTCACCTCCGGGGCCAGACCCCGGCGCAGACTCGCTGTGCGGGTGGCGGGCCCCCTTTCCTCACAGCCTCGCCGACACGGGAGAGGGCCCCCTCGTCACCTCTGCCGACCCAGTGGGGAAAAGGCTCCCCAGGAGAAGAAAACGTCATCCTCGTTGATTTGCGAGTCTCGGACCAGCACCAGGCTCAGTGTCCTTTCCGCCCCCAGCAGCCCTCCGCTGAGTTGCAGCGAGAGGAAGGGGCAGGTCCCGGCTTTCCCAACGCCTTTGCCTAACTGACGTTGGTTTCCCAAGTTCTTCTGGCTCTCTGCCAAGGTGGGGGTGGGGAGGGGAGTCCCTACCGCTGAGGACAGGGCCACGCTATTGAGAACCCTCCCCAAAGTACCTGCAGAACAGACCCCTCCCAGGTCTCGGAGCTCATCCCAGGTGCACCCACCTTTACGTCCCTTACCAGGGACGATAAAGAGTGAATTCCTCTTGATTAGAACCGTCTGGCAACCAGCCTGGGGACCTGAGGACGGCCCCTGGCCACTCCCTCCGCTCCCGCTCCCGGTGTGCGAATGGCGGAGGGTGCAGAGGGGAGTGTCTTTGGCGCGTCTGGAAGAGGAACTTCCCTGGGCCGATTGGGAGCCCTGTTCTCCAGTTCCTCTGTGTATGCGTGTGTGTGTCCCGGTTGTAGTTTGCTCTGTTTGATTTTTCTGCTCTTTGCCTGTTTTGTGGTAAACACCGCGTCTCCTTAGAGGAAGTAAAGGGTGTGAGCAGACAGGTGATCAAGGTGGGCGTGTGCCCCTTGGCGTCGCCCCCTCGCTGTGTGGCCTCTGTGCGCCTCAGTCTGCTGGCCTGTGAGCCGGGGACCGCTGTCCCTCTCCGTGAGGGGCCAGTGGCTCAGTGCGGGTCCAGGGCCTGGAGAGGGGCTGGCAGGTCACACGCGCTGAGGAACACCCAGCTGTCGCCGATTGAGCAGCAAGCAAACACAGACCAGCCTGGCCAGCGCCCGTCTGAGCCAAGGCGGCATGTGTGTTGTCCGTCCTTGGTGTCTGCACAGGCCACACATCCTGCATCGTGGGGCTTCCACGCCTGGGGCACGTGGACACTGGGCCGTCCCCTCGGTGGTCTGGGCTCCCTACCGTGTGTCCACCTGCCTCAGATTCCTCTGTGACCTGAGTGAGGTCTGCTCCGGGCCTCGAGGGAGGGGCCCTGGTTAGTGGAGGCCACACAGCCCAGAGGTCCTCCCCGTGGCTCTGAACTGCGGTCACAGGCGGACTGCAGAGAGGTGGCCGTGCGGCCCTGTGGGCAGCTCCCGCCCAGCCTGGGCCCCCGCCTGCCCCTCTCCTGCCCGGTCCTGCCTTCGCCTGGGAGGCAGAGCAGGCCAGAGGCGTGTGCCAGGGCCCCGAGCGCCCCGGCCCCTGCTGCCCGTGAGCGCCGGCCTCCGAGGCCGACGGCGCCCTTCTCCAGGTGCTTCGCAGGCCCGGGGCTGCGCGTTTTCTGGCGGAGGCTGGCAGAGTGCTTCGGAAATGTGGAACCCACGCTCCATCCTGATAAGCATACCGACGGCTTCGGTGCTGGAGGTCCCAACAAAAGTCGCCTCTGTGACAGGGCTTGCTGTCCCTTGGCTCTTCGGTCACAGCGCTTCCTGCCCCAGCGAAATCTCGATCGGCCCCAGTGTGGCGGGGTCTCCAGCTGCAGCTTCACGAAATATCCTACATTGATTTTCTTACACAGGCTCTTTTTTAATTTAAAGACTCCTGCACGTTAGCAATTAAAATAACTAAATGGTACACTATGATGAGAAACTCCTTTGCGCTGTTCCTCACTGCTAACAGTGTGCACCGCTCTGGAAGTGGATACTCCAAATATATACGTGCCTGGGTGAAAACAGGAGCCCGACTCCAGTTCTTCCTTTCTCACTCGGGTCACGTATACACACGGTGCTCTGTGTGTTGTGTGCCGGCACCGTCTTCGCTGCCGTTTGTGGGTTAACACCGGATCCCTGACTGTATGCGTGAGCGCTATTGTTTTTCTCATTTTCCACACGAGGACGCTCAGGTCTGAGTAGCCAGCCGCCCCTCAGGGTCACCGCTGAGACCTGGCCCCCGGGCCGCTGACCTGAGCGCCTCCGCCCGACCGCCTGTCTGTCTGCTCGGCAGCACGGCTCCCCTGCGGTGCGCGTGGCTGACCGGAGGTTCCTGTCGTGGATACCGCTTCCTGTCGGCGCACCCCTAAAATCCGCTGGGCGGGTGACCTGAAGCCCTGTGAGCGCCACCGACACTTGGGGGTAGACCCGTCCCAGGTGTCTCTGTGCGGGGGCCGCTGGGTGAATGGACACGCTGTGACTCTGTCGCTTTGCCGTCCGCAGGTCCCCGTCACATGCGCACCCACGGTCACACGTGCAGAAAGGGCTGTTCTCGCGGGGCCTCAGTAGGCCCCTCCCCGTTTGCTCATCAGAAGGGTGTGCGAAGTGCCCCGTGTTGTCCGTAGTTGTGGTTCCCCGACCAGGAGGAAGGCGCCGAACCCTTCATGAGCCACGAATGGGGTTTCCTGCGAAGGGTGTGTTCACGTCTCACGCGTTCTTTTGGGCCTTCGGGTTGTTGGCAATGGCTTCCCAATTTGTAAGAACACACTGTACATTAAGAAAAGTTACTTTTAGTTAAAATATGCTCCTGTTGTTCTCTCAGATCATTATCTGGCTTTTAATGATCTGTGCTGTGTTTAATTTTTAAAAGGTACCTCACTTACTGGCCTCTTCCTTCTTGGCTCCTAAGAATACTTGGCTTTGCCCGAGGTGCGCTCAGGGTCTCCTGCCCCTGTGACCTCCCACTCCCACCCCCACTTTCCCCCTCGGGTCCCCGGGCCCCTCCCAGAGCCAGAGGGGCGGAGCCCGGCCTTGCGGGACCCGCCCTGGGGTGATATGTCCTGCAGAACCGTCCCATCTCCGACCCTGCCAATCTCAGAGCAGGGCGGGGTTCTACTGAAGACCTGGACCAATCCTAGGTCAGGAGTGGGGCTGGGGGGCGTGGCTTCGCGCTCCGCCCAGGTCTAGGCTTTGGGCCTCCGGGTGCATTGGCCCCCGTAACCCGTGGCGTCGCCCAGCCCCGGGCGCAATGGACCCCGCGCTGGCGGCAGAGAAAGGCGAGGCGGTGGCCCAGAAGGTGCTCCAGTACCGGCGAGATGAGTCAGGCTGGAAGATTTGTCGGGAAGGCGTGAGTGAGGAGCTGGGCGGGAAGGGTCCTTAAGCCTGACGCCCCCAGGCTCCTCTCCTCCGCGTTGCTTCGGGCACACTCCAGTCCCAGGCGCCAGACTGAGCAGCCGGCGGGGGCAGGGAGGGGGCTCCCCTAAAAATTCACCCTGGGTCCTGGTGCTCGGAACTGCAGGTAAAGCCTCTGCTCCTTCCCTGGAATTGTCCGAGGTCACCTGACTGGAACCTTCCATCCGAGTGTGAGTCCCTCCCTCCCTCCGCTCTCGGAGAGGCTGTCGTGGGGACGGTTTGCTAACTTGGCACTTCTGATTTTTAACACATGGGCCTCAGTTGCTCAAAGAGCTACAATGGTGGCTTTTAAGGTGGTCTGAAAAGCACCCAGAGCTCGGGGGGCGGGGGGCAGCCTGCTAAAACCCTGTTCCTGCCCCTTGGGGGACCAGCTCCACTCTGCCTGGGTGAGGGCGTCTCCTGGGAGACCTGCATCCCCGGAAGCCGTGCTTTCCCTCCCGCAGAACAGGATTGGGCCGGGCCAGGTCCCAGAGCTTTTCCTGCTGTGAAACTCTGCGATTCTTTGCCTTTGACAGAACGGAGTTACAGTTTCCTGGAGGCCTTCTGTGGAGTTTCCCGGGAACCTGTAAGTGCTTGCCCGGCTCCAAGTGGCTGGAGGCTCCGGGGCCCCCTTCCTGAGAGGCTCCGGTCGTTCCAGCTCCCTGCAGTCAGCTCTCCAGTTCCTTTCCAGATTTAACTACATCATTTCCAGGAAACTGTGTTCTCGCGAAAGCTTGCCTCTGCTTCTGCAGGCCAGGGCAGGGGAGCTGGTCGGCTCGGCCCCTACTGCGGGGCCGTCCTACACGGCAGTGGCCGACCTGCCGGCTGGGGGTCCCAGGCAGTCCCGGGTAAACGGGTTTGATGGGGGACATCCAGGGTTCGTATCCTTTGTCGTGCTACAGGTACCGAGGGGAAGGCGTTGTGAACGGGGCACCGGAGAGGGTGTGGGACTTGGTGAAGCCGCTCGTTGGGAGCCTTCGAGCGACGTGGGATGAGAACGTGACCAGTTTTGAAGTGGTCCAGAGCATCACGGATGTGAGTCTTTGCAGACACTGTCAGCCTCGGGTAACTTGACTGTCCTCTCTGGAGGGGGTTCGTGACACCTTCTGGCAAGGGGAGTGCCCTGTGGATGCCTGGTTCCTGCAGCTCTGAGCCCCAGCTGGAGCCCCGGTGCAGGGGGACGACAGTGTGACTCTGGGCTGAGAGAAACCAGCGGCAGCGGGCAGAGGTGTGCGGGGTGGTGCAGGCTGTGGGGGGACGTGTGGGGGCAGGGCCTGGGTGCGACCCCTTGGCTCGGGTGGGAATTGCTCCCTTCCACGGGGCTGTGGTAACAGCCGAGGGGGTTGGGGCTGGAGGGGCCGGTGGGTCTGCCTGGCGGCAGCGTCTCCACTGGCAACGTGTGGGTGCATCGGGAGGCTAGTGCCACTGGTCGGAACTTTCTGGAAATGTCCGGTATCGCTGCTCAGTAGCCGCCACTAGTGCCAGGTGGGCAGAGGGCCTTTGAAATGTGTCTCCTTTGAGGAAACGAGGTGCTCGTTGTTCCCGTCATTGTCCGTGTGCGTTGAAGCTGCCGCGCGCAGCCCTGGGCACCGTGTCAGACCGAGCAGGCCCTGCCGGTCCCCTCCCAGGTCCTCCGGAGGGCGCAGAGCCCACCTCATTTTGTTCACACGAGTTGAGAAGGGAAAAAAGTCAGAGGCAGAACCAGCACGAAAGTGGCCGCAGGGGAGTATTCACCAGCCTGTGCTATTTGAAAATGGTGTCTGTGGCCTGGGCCCCCTCCGGGCTTTTGCACAGGTCGCGCTGGGAAACCTCGGGCGGCGGCTCCCGGCGGCGCAGCCGGGGAGCCCTGGCGTTTGCAGTGCTGGCCAGCTTTCTACTGGTCCCCCCCACTCGCCACCACGCGGCTTCCTGAAGCCTGGGTTCGCCTGTCCAGGCTGAAAGGGGGTCGCTCGGGGAGGCCACCCACTCCGGTTCTTTACAAGTGTCTGTGATAACTCAGAGGGGGGTCTGGGGCCCGTGCCGACTGTCTGACACCTGTTCGTCACTCACTAACCCCCGCTGTGCAGTTTCTTTTAATTTTTGCCAAGCGATACTTTTTTCCCACTTCCGACAGTGAAATAGCTTCCTTTCCAAATAACTTTAAGTGTTAAAAAGCAAACACATTTAGATAGAAACATCCGGTGAGTTAACAGGGTGGCAGTACCAAAAAATTGTGGGGACAGTTTCCAGATGATTGGGTGCACATGCGTGAAGTCCAAAGGCGGGTTCATGCCCTTGGGACCCCGTGTGACTGTGATGACGTGGTGACTGTGTACCGGATGCTCTTGAAGGTAGACGTTTTCCGCGTGTTCACACTGATGGGACTTGAGAGAAGGCCAAGGGGACTGCAGTGCGGAGGCCGAGGTGCCGCAATCGCGATTAGAGTGACCGGCACCGTCCCTCTCTGCGTCCTTGTCCTTTCACGCGGGGCTGCTGCTCCGTGGGGGAGGGAAGCGGCTTCAAGGAGGTGACAGACACACCCAGGGTGCCAGAGGCTGTGAGCGCAGAACAGGTGCAGAAAGCTGCCTGCTGCCTCCCCGTCAGTCACCCCAGCCTTCTCCTGCCCGGGTCCCGGAGGCCCCACAGGCGCCCTTCCCAGAGCCCGCCACCCACCACCCACAGACAGCTCGCCTGTGCACCGTCACACTGTGGCACCGCTGTCCTCACCTCCTGGCCAACTAGCCAGTGGGTTTGGCAGGTGCTGTGCAGGGTCCCTGAGCCAGGCTGCCCGGCCCTCATCCCTGGCAGCCACGGTGCCCCCAGGCCTGGCCCTGTTACTCCTCAAGGGCAGCAGACTTCAGACTCGTTGCTCACGTAGCTCCGGTGGGTTCCCGAGAACTCGCACACTGTCCCCGCACTTCTGCGTGACGGTGAGTGTGGAGGCGGCACCTGAAGTTTCCCCAGAAGTTCCACGTGCAGTTTCATTACCAGTGTCCACTTTAGCAACGCAGGGACCAGCTTTCCCCACTCAGAAATGTCGTATTGTTTTTTGCCTGGAACTCAAGTTTTTATTCCATGTAACCCACTGAATATTATCCTAATACACTTGTTTTTAAGAACTATCATCCTCCATGAGAAAAATGTATGTAAATTGAAACTAAATTTTAAAAACTCATGTGTATTTCCTGTAACCATGAGGCTCTGAAGTGTTGGAAAAAATCCAGCTTGAGATATGATTAGAATTTTATTAAAATAGCATCACCAAAGTTGACTCAGCGGGACCCCACCTTGGCTTTGGCAGACTCTGTGCGTCACCAGAACCGCCACCCCCTCAGCTGCCATGAAGATCATTTCGCCCCGAGACTTTGTGGACCTGGTGCTGGTCAAGACATACGAGGACGGGACCATCAGCTCCAACGGTGAGTGGCGGCCGGGGCCTGGGGCGCGCTCTGCCCCGCGCCTGTGCGCTTCCTCAGCGGAGCCGGCCTCCCGGCCCTCCGTCTGTGTGCCGTGGTGCTCGGAGAAGGGACGGTCCCCAGGCTGGCCATATTTAAGGCACAGGGTGGTCAGCCACCCCTTCTCTTCCTGCTGAGGCCCACGGTTGCGCCCACACTCGCGAGGTACAGTTTGGCCGCACAGAACCTTGGGGCGCAGTGATTCCCCAAGCCTGGGGGTGGCTTTCCGCGGGGAGGGCCAGAGTCCCCACACCGCCCTCTGAAAGCCATGCATCGCCCGTGGGGCAGACGGCGGCTCGTTCATGCCTCACACCTGTGCCGGCTGAAATCCGAGAGGGTGCCACCTCCTACCCCCAGTCATCATAATTCTGTTCTTTGCTCTGCCGGACTTGCTGTGTGTGTGGGGGGGGGGTACGGGGGCTCAGTGCCCCCTTGCTGGCCCCTCGGGCTCCAGGGGGTGGGTGCGGCACTGGTCCAGCTTTTCGAAAATGTGCCCTGTCTCCTAGCTGCCAACCTGGAGCACCCGTTGTGTCCGCCGAAGCCAGGCTACGTGAGAGGGCGGAACCATCCCTGCGGCTGCTTCTGCGAGCCCGTGCCAGGGTAAGGGCCGTGCCCTGGACTGAGGGAGCGGACAGGGGCTCCAGGGTGGGATTCTGTTTGAGGGGCACAGGGGTTACCTTGCCCACCGTGCTGCAGGCCCTGACGCTGGACGGCACTGCCACGGACAGCTGAGTGGGCGAAGGGAGAGGGTGCGGGAGGCACTTCCGTGGGTGTCCTCCCTCCAGCCCCAGGCCAGCGGGGCACAGCCCTGGTCCCGCCCAGCAGCAGAGGAATCCCGTGGCTCAGGGACCGGGAGGGGTTCGTACAGGTTCAGTCTCGGTGTCCTCGGGGCTGGTGGCCAGGTTTTCACCCGGAGGTTTCTGGAGAGTGACAACCTGAGGGTCTCTAGTTGATCCAGGGTGCCACCCGGGTTGACACTGGACACTTGACCTGTTCCTGGCAGAGGGAGGGGCAGGTCTGAAGTCCCTCGGGTGGAAGGTGTGGGGTGTTTAGGGAACGGCGTGGAGCCGGTGGGATCAGCATGGGCTGTGGGCGAGGTAGGGAGCTGGTCACCGAGGCAGCAGACGCCACACCAGCGAAGGTCTGGGGCCCTGTTAGGGCCCGAGCACAGTGAGGACAAGGCGACTGGAGAGTGTTGAGCAGATGTGGGTGGCGTTTGGGTTCAGAGCTGTGACGCGTGTGGGCAGGAGGGGTCAGAGAGCAGGGATGGGCAGGGAGGGGGCGCGCGCCGGAGTCTGGGCTCTTCCCCAGGTGGGGAGTCTGCCTGCGCAGAGGCAGCAGCGCGGCACTGCGCCCGCTGCAGCCCTCACTCGGTGCCCGGGAGGTGATCGGGGTGCCCCACATGGCTGCCTGGCCAATCCCTAGAACAGGTGGGTGGGCGCTGCGACCCCGGCCGGCCAGCTCCCCGTGGAGGTCGGGCCCTGCCCCACCTCCCTGAGCCCCGTCATGCCCCTTCTGTGAACGATGTGCAGGCAGGACCCTCGGCCTGGCCCGTGTGGAGCGCCCACCGAGGCCCTTGCTCACCCTGGGGACAGACAGCGCAGTCACTGAGCACACTTCCTCCAGACCAAAGGGGACGCAGCTGAGAGAGACGAGGGTGTGAGTGAGCCTGGGGTGGAGCAGCAGATGAGGGAGGGTCCCTCAGGACAGCGGGGACCGAGTCTGCACGGTGCTGAGGCTTTGCGGCATAGGGACGTGTCTGCCCCCGGGGGGCGCACTCTGCAGAGCCGACAGCAGCAGCATGCGGCACTGCCCGGTGTGCCGGCTGAGCCCTGGGCCTCAGGAGGGACCCAAGACGTCGGCAAACGCCTGATGTGCCGGTGCAGTGCTGCCTGGGGTTCCTGGTGACGCCCTGATGCTGGTGACATCTCCCAGCAAAGAGCCAAGTGGGCTCCACAAGGCCCGTCCCTGTGTTGTTCTGGCCATCGGGAGGGCTGTGACAGGGAGGACCCCTTGTGCCGACCAAGCCGTGTCCTGTGTCCTCCCAGGCACGCCTCTCGCTAAATCTGAGTCAGGCTGGCAACTCCTGCCCTCACTGTCCTGAGCATGAGCCCATCACTTGGAAGCCAGGGTCGCTCTGTGTGCCGTGCTCCTGCCTCCCCTGGGCTTCTGTCCCTCACCCGAATCCATTCAGATGAGCCCACGGTATCTGTCTGCCTTGCCTCTAAGTCAGCCGTCCTCGAGTCTCGTCAAATGGATGGTTTTTACCCTATTGCATGTGGTCACTTCCGGCGCCAAATGTTAATCGGCCCTAAAAGTGTGGGTTTATTTCTGGGCTGTCCTGTCTGTTTTCATGCCATGCTGTTTTGACTACTGCGGCCTTGTAGTGCAGTTTCACATCAGGTAGTGGGATACGTCCAGCTTGGTTGTTTTTTCCTCAAGATTGCTGTGGCTATTCTGGGTCTGTTGTGGTTCTGCATACATTTCTGGAATATTCGTTCTCCTCCTGTGAAATACGCCATTGGCACTTTGATAACAAGTGTGTGGAAGGTGCAGATTGCTTTGTGGGGGCAGGGATGTTTCAGCAATTTCAACTCTTCCACCTGTGAGTGCAGTGTGTGGTTCGCTTTATCTGTATGTTCAGTTACCTTCTTTGGTGTCTTGTACTTTTCCAAGTGCAAGTCTTTTGCCTCCTTGGTTACGTTTATTCTTAGGTGTTTTATTCTTTTTGATGCAGTTGTAATTGTGATTGTTTTCCCAATTTCTTTTTCAGATAGTTTGTTTTGGATGTGTGAAAAATCTATACTTCTAAATATTTTTCAGGACTTTAAAGGGTTTTTTAATGTGAGTTATATCCATCAATATTTGCCCTGTTTGCAATTAATAAAAGGAAAATTTAAAAATGTATTAAGTAACAAATTACATACGAACAGATATTTTTATGAAAAAACTATTGTTCCAAACACAAAAACAGTGCCATCGTTCCATGTCTGCCGGTCTCACATCAGGTTCAGGGAAGGTCACGTCTATCCCTGCCCATCGTGTGGCCTCTGGAAAACAGCCCACGCGCTCAGGAGAGAACGAGAGGGACAGAGGCCGACCGCCCTTTAGTGCTGCTCTGAGAGTTGTTGTGACCTTGTAGACCCCGGTGCAAAGGGGTCAGGAGCCCCCGGGACTCCCCAGACCTCACAGAACCACTGCCCTTGTTGCTCCCAGGCCCCCACAGACAGAATCCGGGGCAGGGAATTCAGTCTTCCTGGGCGGGAGGCGGCGGGCTGCAGCTGGCCTGGTGTGACCGTGGAAGTCTGCGTTGGCCCCCTCCAGATCTGTACGCGCAGGTCCAGAGGGCACCCCCGGGGCAGTGACACCCCTGGGCCCCCGCCGTGTCTTCAAGCTAGCCACTCCCAGCCTTCCCTGCGCGCAGCCCAGGTCCTTCCGCAGACGGCCACTCCCAGCCTTCCCTGCGCGCAGCCCAGGTCCTTCCGCAGACGGCCGCTCCCAACCTGCCCCGCGCGCAGCCCGGGTCCTTCCGCAGACGGCCGCTCCCTGCCTGCCCCGCGCGCAGCCCAGGGTCTTCTGCAGAAGCGTAACCCCACCCCGCTGCCACCACACAGGGAGCCCAGCAAGACCAAGCTGGTGACCTTCTTCCAGACGGACCTGAGCGGCCTCCTCCCGCAGAGCGTGGTGGACGCCTTCTTCCCGCGCAGCATGGCAGGGTTCTACACCAACCTTGAGAAAGCGCTGAGGTCAGTGCCGCGCTCGTGCTCTCGTGCTCTCCTGCGCGTGCGCTCCACCGCTCCACTCAGCGTGCTGCCTGGGGTGTCCACTGCGCACCTGGGTGCGCTCGCTCTGTGTGACGGCCGGAATTTTCCAAACCAGCCCCAGTAATAACTCCCCTCCCCCCCCCCCCCCGGCAGGCGTATGCCAGCCCCCACCGAGGACACCCGGGACGTGGCTCTGTTCCAGTGACCAGGCACACGGGCCCCCCAGCTCTGGCCTTTCTGGGACACTCGTGTGGTAAGGAAGCCCAGGCCACAGGGAGAGGTCCAGCACGTGTCCACCTCCAGCTGTGTGTGAGAGAGTGGCCTGCCCGGGCTTCCATCCCCATGCCTTTGTGCGGCTCCAGCTGACGCCGCCCCGAGCCCCGCTGGCCACGCTGCGGGCGCCTGACAGACCAGCGTGACTGTTTGGGGGATCATCAGCCAGTTACAGCTCTGGGAAGGTGTGCAAACAGGGCGTGGGTTTCACATCCAATCTCAATACATTCACTTTATTTAAAGCACCTCTGTGTTCGCACTGAGCTGTCTGTACATAGTTTGCATCGGCCACCCCACTGCGACTGGCCCTCACTGTAAGGACAGCCCTCAGGCCGATCCCAGGAGGTCCAGCCTTAGGCAGCAGCCCTGGACGGGGGTGAGCAGTGACCCTGAGATTTGCGTGCTGCTGGCTCTGCTGTCCGCACTCTGCCTAGGGCTCTCCGGTAGCCGGGGCGCTCCCGGGCTGTGGGCTCCTCCTCCTGATGAGAACCGTGACCGGCCCATCGGGCAGCGCTTTGATGACGCTCCAGGCTTCGAACCGCGTGAGTCCCTGTACCGTGGTGCCGGCCAATTGCAAGACCTCGTCTCCTGGCTGGACTGTCTCAGTCTGCCCTGAGGCTGCCCCTGGAGGAGGGACAAGGAGACACAGGGTGTGCGGGTGGCAGGGGAGTGAGGCAGGGCGCCCCTACCTGCCACTGGGGAGAAAGGAAGGAGCACAGCTTACCTGTGAAAATGCGGTTGATGGTGAGAGGCTTGTCCCCATGCAGGGAGCCCTTCCCTCCTTCCAGACTGAAGCCCAGCCCTGCTGAGGTCTTCTCCAGCGTTACCGTGTGAACAGTGGCCTCTGCTGCAGAGGAGGAGATGGGCTCTGTTAGGGCAGCGCTGCTCCTCGGGCCACGAGCCCCTGGCTCAGAGAACCTGGCAGACGCTGCCGCTGAGCTTGCGCGTGTCCCAGCACAGATGTGCGTCTCGGGCAGCATGCAGGGCTGCCTGCCTGTGGCTGAGCAGCCCCCCAGGGACAGGGGCGTCATGGCCCCCGGGGCTTCCGCCAGGCTGGGAGAACTCACTGGATTCTGCGGAGGTGTCACTGGCCCCAGGGGCCGAGGCTGCAGAGTCCAAGGAGGAGTTCAGGTCGGGGCCGGCCTCCAGCATCGGCTTCCTGGTGACGATCACAGCTTGCCTGGGATCCCGGGCGTGGCGGAGAATGGCCAGTGCGTCATTGTGGGTGGCCCCTTTGAGGGATTTGCCGTTGATGGAAAGCACCTCGTTGCCCTTCTGGATAGTCCCCTCCTGGGAGGCCAGCCCATTGGGGAACACTCTGTGAACCTGGGGAGGCGAAGGAGGTCAGGCGGGCAGCGCCTTCGTCCATCGAGACCCTCACTGGGGATCAGAGCCCGTTAGTGCAGCACGCTAGTCGCCAGTTCCTGGGCTGAAGGAAGCAAGGCTGACCGTGTCCTGAGCACGGTCAGCCTCCACCCACACAGTGAGGGTGACAGTGATGGACACCGTGGCTCCCAGAGTCTCCCCAACCCCACGTCTTAGCCTCTGGGACTGCAACCCGAGTCAGCCTGCAGTTCAAGTCCTCAGGGTGCCTGGTGTACCACAGACCAGTACAGCGCTCGCCCCCGCCCAGGTCCACCTCCCCGTCCTCCCCGTGGGCACAACCAGGACGCCGGCCGCCTCTCCAGGACCTGCCTTCCGGGTCCCCAGTTGCCAGTCGTCTGTCTTCAAGGTCAGCGCTCACAGGTGAGGAGAGGTTCTGAGTCCGCAGCCCCAGAGTGAGACCGAGACACCCGGAGCCCCTTTTGCAGCCCCACCTGCGGCTCAGGTCTCCTTGGGCAACAGCGTCCCCCAACCTTGATGGCACTGGGGACCCATCTCACAGGAGACAATTTTTTCGTGGACTGGGGTGCAGGGGATGGTTTCGGGGTGACTCAAGTGCAGCACATTCAGGCTGCCCTCCTGCTGGGCAGCCCGGTTCCTAACAGGCTCAGCTTGGTGCCGGTCCGAGGCCCCGGGGCCCCCGCTGCACGGTGCGGAGAGGCCTTTTTTGTTGGTGCAGGACGGTGATGGGAGTGGACGCGGGGCCACCTAGTGATGGTCCCTGTGCTGCCGACAGGCACAGACGCAGACCCTGCCCTGAGTGCCCACCCAGTGGCTTGGGGTCCTCTTGTCACCCACACAAGACCCCTTCCAGGCAAGTGGGTGTCCCTCCCTGGGCCCTGTCCCTGGGCCACTCACCGTTATCACCTTGTTCTCCAGATCGGAGCCTCCTGCCAAGCTGAAGCCAAGGCCGGCCCCCTCCTCCTTGTGCAAGACGGTGACATGGATGCTGTCCAGTTGCTGCGGAAGGAGATGGACAGTGGAGAACATCTTCTCGAGGCAGCACCAACAGTGTAAGGAGTGGGAACGTGCGCCCGATTCAGTCTGAAACCCGGATGGCCCGTGCCCTCGTGCCCGCCACCTCCTCAAGCCCGTGTCACCGTCCCTGAGGGAGGGACTGCACTGTGGACTCGTGGGGAGTTCAGAAGGAAGAACGACGTGTGTGAAGCCACCTGGACAGCCCTTTTCTTCTGCCTGCCCCACGCACACGCGTCAGAGCAGGAGTGGGTGTCACCCGGGACCCCAGTGCATTGGGTCACGCAGCTCTGCCATTTCGGTCTCTAACTTGGCCTCAGCAAACCCAGGGGTCGGAGCTGTTTGGGGCCGCGGGCTGTCCCTTCTCTCCCCACTGGGAGCCTGGCTGAGCGCCCGCCCCACCACACAGGTGCGGAGGGGCACGCCCGGGTCTGCAGACACGCCCCCGAGCACTCGGGCATGCGCACTGCGCCGGCACAGCCCCCGCCGGAAGCTAGAGGTCCGCTCTGCTCTCCATCCCGGCGTCATCAGCACGCTGGGTCAGGTTGTCACGTCAACCAGAGGGGGCAGAGGTGAGACGGGAGTGACAGGAACTGAGGACGGGAAGAGAGCACGTGGCCCAAGAGGAACAGCCGCACACGGGACGCCAGGCCCCTTGCCAGCAGGTGTTTTCCATTAGAAAAAGAAGCGGGGAGCCCGTGACATGTGCTCAGTGGCCCTATTCTTGAAAGTTTTCGTGCTGGGAGATCGCCTCACCTGCGTACCCCTGGCTCTGCGGCCCTCTGACGGCAAGTCCCCAGATCGCAGACTGATGAGGGACGAGTGGACCTCACCGCCTGCCTCATCTCCACCCCGGCACTGGCCCGAACCTCACAGCTTCCCCCGAGGGGCAGCTGCCGCGGGAGAGGCCCTTGCAGTTCACACTGCCTCTGCCTCTGGAGAACGGCCCGGGGACTGCGCGGGAGTCACCCCCCGGGCGTCCTGTGTTACTGGCGCACCTGGGCCCCTGAGCTGGGACCACAGCTCCTGTCCCAGCCTGGACCGTTTCCGGGTAAAGTGCCGCCGGCCCAGGCAGTGGAGAAGTGAGGCCCCCACGGCCTGGGCTCCTCCGTGCCCGGCGGCCACTTCCTGTCTCACGCCTCTGAGCTGTGTTCAAGGTACGGGAAGTGGGACTTTCGAAATGACTGGGGCCCTGGGGTCCGTCACCGCTCTGCGGGGGAAGTCCCAGGTGAGAGCTCGGACTCGGCAGCGCCCCCCGTGGACGCACAGGCGGGCTGCACGTGGGACAGGAAGTAGTACCGCCCTGGAGCAGCCTCACCTGATCTCAATGATAGAACCAAAAAGCCCTCATCAGCCTCCGACTGACAGCTTTTCAAAGCTACAAATCACCTTCCCTCAGGAACGTCCCACTGTGGCCCTGTGAGACACCCCTCCGCCACCACGGGCAGCACCTGCTCCAGCCCCCTGGAACCTGGGGTGAGGCAGCGGCCTCCCCTGTGGCCTGACGAGGTGACCAGCCTGCTGTTCCCAGGGCCTTCGTCTCGGTGAAGGTGCACAGAAGAGACCCACCTTCAAGGTCGCTTCGTCCAGAACCTTCACCTCCTCGATGAGCTGCTTTAACTCCTCCGAGCTCAGCAGGGAGATGACTGACTGGCCGGAAGTAGGGGCGCCGTCGTCGGCCTGCGCGGGCTCGCCGAGGCCCTCCGTGTACTCTCTCAGCTCCGAGAGGCTGTGGCGGGAGAAGCAGCACAGGTGTGAGTCGGCCTGACCCCAGATCGTGTCTGGTAGTCCCTCCCGGTCCTCAGGGCAGCGGGGCGCCGTGGTGGTGCAGGCTAAGGTCTTGGTGTGTGTGACCCGAGTCAGACACATGTCCCCTCTGCCTTCCTTCTGGGGCAGAGCTGGCGCCCACCCACCGCGGAGGGTGCGCACTGGGCCAGCGCGCCTCGTCCTGCCGAACTCATTGTGGTGCCTGGTGGTCTGTAGGTTCACTTTCTGTCTGGTGTGAGAGGACCACTCCTTTGATGGACAGCACCACGCTGGGCGGGCCCTCACCCAGAACAACAGGCCCCCTGGTCCTGGGGGCGGCTGTCGCTACCTCCCAATTTGAATAGGACAGGGAAAGGGGTGACTCCAGAAGGAACCTGCTGATGGCCAGGGAGGCCGTGCTGGGGCCCAGTGTCCGCATCCAGGGGGGACGAACCCATGTGCAGAGGGGAGGGGCCGGCAGAGTTCCCCAGGGGTCCTTGGGTGGCACAGTGTGGGCCTCCTGAGCCGAGGCGGGCGCGGCCGGGGGGTTTGTGTGAGGGGCTGTCCCGCCCCTTCTCACCCTCAACCGGGTGTCCTGAGGGTGTCCCCGTAACAGGAAGGCTGAACTGCCTCTCCCCCCACACAGACAGACTAGAGGGGGCCCGACCTGTCTGTGGGGAAGTGTGGGCACACTTACTTGAGTGAGAACCCGGTGTCAGTGCTGCTGGCAGCCGGGTCCTGACTGGATGGGGACCCTGGGGACACCCCTTCCTCGGGGCTGCAGGGCGTCTGGCTGCAGGAGACCGAGGAGGGCAGGCACAGCAGGGACTTCATGACGGCCGAGGACACCTGGCTGCTGATGGCGTAGAGCCTGCAGGTCCTGTCGTCGGGCAGCTGCACCTCACAAGACTGCGTCCTGGTCAGTGGGAAGCTGTGTGCCCGATGGCTCGGCGTCCGGACCGCGGCACCTTGTGACCCCCCAGTCTGTGTAGGCAGCAGGCTCAGGAGAGGGTTTGAGCTGGGGGCCGACTCGGTGCACAGCTGCCCCAGGGGTGGGGTCCCCAACACACCCGGGTCACTGGCCTCTGAGGCCACCGGGGAGCCAGAGGACAGTGGCTCTTGCTGTGGCTGCAGCTGCTCCCCGGTGGGGGGAGACCCTCGCCCCAGGAGGCCAGGACCCCGGCCTCCTTCCTGCCTCCCTGGAGGCCTCACCGCCTCAGCAGAGGGGCTGGGGGGCTGCAGGCTCGGTCTGGGGGCCCGTCTGTCGGGCAGCTGAGGGGAGCCGAAGGTCTCGAAGGAGCTGATTCTCTGCCTGATGGAGCTGGAAGCCCGGGCCTGTGGCCCCAGGCGCTCCCTGGGGGCCGGTGTGGGCTTCTCGGAGGGGGCCACTGGCAGCTGCCTGGGCTCTGGATGGAGATGCCTCAGCTCTTTCAAGCTTTGGCGAAACCAGGCGGGCTTGGGGGCCACGGGAGGGCCCTTCTTCGCGATGCTGTGGTCTGCTGGCTTGTAAGCCTTGGGAGCGCCGGTGCTGGTGTCCAGCTTCGGGGAGAGCCCATCTGGGGGGCCCCGCTCCCTGTCCTCCACGAGGCAGGCGGCGGGCTGCAGCGCTGTGTGGCCGTCACTCATGATGGGGCTGAACAGGCTCCTGATGCAGCCGGAGATCCGGGCCCACGGGTCCTCGGCCGCACCGTCCAGGCCGCAGTCCACCCGCGCCTGCCGCCGCAGCACGGGGTGCCCGCCTGGGGACGGCCCAGGCCCTGGGGGCAGAGACCAGGCCTACGGTTTGCATTGCATCTGATGGCGTTTTCTGCCTCCGTTCCAGAGCAGGGTGGGGGCAGGGGTGGGGGGGGCAGGACGGCAGGACCAGAGTACAGGTTAACGTCACAGCATCCTGGCTTCTCAGCGTGGAGAGCAAGTGGTCTGCTGGGCAGCCCGTTTCAACATGAGGGGCCCGGGATTCATAGGGGTACAGGGCCATCAGCAGGGGTGACACAGTCAGGGTCATGCTTGTTTTCCCCTCCCCACCTCCAAGGCACCAGGTGCCCCTTTCTCTCTCATGTGCCTGGTGCACCCCCGCCCAGACCTCTGCTCTGCCTGCACAGACGTGGGCACACTGGCCGCCCCGAGGTGAGGGACGTGTGTCTGCGTTGCCCCCCAAGGGCGCTGAGCCCGTGTTAACTGTGTGGTCTGCCTTCCGCCCCGCAGCCCCTAGCAGCGCCCCTGCGGATGGGACGCTCCCACCGTGCACGGCACCCACGGTCCTGCTGCCTCAGCCCGGCCGGTCCTCGGCCCTGGGGTAGGAACCCCTTCTCACCTGTCACTGGACTTCGTGCGGAAGAGCCAAGGTCCTACCTGGGCTGCCGCCTCTCCTCCCTGGCTCGGCCTCTGTGGGGGACGCAGCCTGCAGGTCGGCAGCAGGTCCCGGGCCGCAGGCAGTGGCATGGGGGCCGCCCGCTGCTGTGACTTCCTGCGGTGGCAGCGGTGGCAGCAGCTCACTGGCTTCCTGTGGTGTAAACAGGAAGTGAGACTGTGTCAAAACGGCGGCCTCCCACTGTGCAAGGAGAAGGCAAGTGCTCGGATCGGGACTGAGGGCGACGTGGGCTCCGTGAGCAGGTGCCCTGCGCTCTGGGCCCCGGTGCTGCCCACGCCCCTCACGTCTGTAGTGACCGTCAGTGACGTCTCCGGTTACACTGGGTGGTGGTGGTAGTGGTGGTGGTGGTGGTGTTTTTTTCCAACAGAAACAAGAGGTATTATTTGTTAAGTTAGAAAAGAAATGTTATTTGAATGCAGGATTGCCGTGTGTGAACGTATACCCAATCGGTCTTACAGACACACATCACAACAGAAGTGACAGCTGACACACCCTCAGGGAGCCCGCAGCCAGGCGACCTGGACGGAGCACACAGGCGGGCACAGGCCAAGGGAGCGAAGGGGTGCAGGGCACACCCACGTGTGTGGCGGGTAAACTGTACATCGGTGGCCCTGGTCCGGGCGGCCCGGTTGGCTGCCGTCCGGCAAACGGCGAGTTCGCAGCCTCGGTTGCGGGTTTGGTGCCTGGTCAGGGCGCGTGTGAAAGGCAGGCACCTGACTCTCACGTCATGATTCTCTTCCTCTCCCCCTTCCTTCTCCTCAGAACGAAGGGGCGCGTCCTCAGGGTGGATAAAAATAAAAAGCACCGACCTGAGGTGTTGGAGGAGGGCGGTGGGCAGTGTGTGGGGCTCGGCTTTGGGGCGGCTCTGTGTTCCTCACCGCCCGGCCCTCCTTGGGCTCCGGTTGCCCCCAAACTTCTGTGTAAAAAACGAGGTTCCTGAAGTGCCTGCGTGGCCCACCCCGTAGGCCACACCTTCACCTAATGTTGTCGCAGGTGATATCTGTGTGTACTGTGTAGTGTTTGGGGTTCACCGGCCGCAGAGCGGGCTCTGCTGGGGGGAGATGAAGCTCCACCGCATCCCGGGGGCTCAACCCATCGACACTCAGGAGGGTGATCCCACCGTAGTCCGTCATCACGGGGACTCAGGGCTGCACAGATGGGGGCGCCTCACCCCCGGCTGGGGCTTCGCCGCTGTGCACTCAGGGTCTCCGTAGTTGTTTTCATCATTATTTTTGTTTCAGATAAAGCTTTTAATTTTATTCCTAAAAACCCTTCACACGTTGGACGCCGGGTTCTGTTCATTTGGGGCCGGTGCTGTGACTGCAGTTCCGGGGATGGGACTCTGTGCAGGCAGATGGGACTGTCCTCAGCCTCCCTGTGTGTGTTAGACAGCCGGCGGGGCCGTGGCAGCGGGAGCGGACTTGGTAGGACTCGGGCTGGTACACGGTGTGTTGTGGTTTTATCACTGGATCAGCGAGTCCCGCGACGACAGGTGTGGGTTCCTGGGAGGAGAGGCGTGTGGACCGGGGAGCTGGCCGGCAGAGGCCCCACCTTCCCGGTGTCCCGGCTCAGAGGTCGGGCCGGGGACAGCAGAGCCAGACCAGGGCGGCGAGGCTCTGAGACCTGCACGAGGACGGGTGTGCGGGGATGGCCCTTGGGGCTGGTCTGTGCCAGTGGCTGCCACTGTTAGGCCTCAGTGGCTGGAGATGGAAAAGGGCCGCAGCTTTTGTGAATGTTCTGGGTGAGGACTCAGGCTGCTTGGTGTGGTCATATCGTTTGTGTGGACGGCCGACACCTGACAAGGAGCGCGGCGTCTGCTCTGGCTGCCTGCTTGAGTGGGGTCCGCCTGAGACAGCGTGGGGCCTTCTTGAGCTAAAGGTGGTCGCAGGTGGGTGAAGTCCTGGGCAGATTTTGTGGTTGTAGCCCAGGGGGGAACCTGGCCCCCGGAGGTGGGTGTTGTCGGGGCCGAGTGGAAAGGCCCGTTGAAGACCTTCCGGCGTCTCAGACGCGGGCGGGCGTCCCAGGGCCTCGGGGAGCTGCAGCGGCTGCGTCTGGCCCGTCAGGGCTCGAGCGGCACAACGGCTGCAGCTCCTGCTCCTCCTCCCCCAGTGGGTGATTGAGAAAGAACCGTGGGGGGACGAGCGAGTGTCACCACGGTGAGAAATGGAAGCAGGCGTAGGAAGTCGGCTGGTGCTCGGGTCTGAGAACGTGTTTCATGTCGAGGGTTCCCTGATCGACCGCTGAGTGATACTGAGACGTATTCTAGCCCGACAGGGACTTCCAAACGTTTTTGTGTCGTGGTGCTGAAAGTAAGTACTTGTATTTTTTTGGTATGCCAGAGAATTTATTTTTCACCCACCTGAGAAAGAACAGATAGTTTCGATCCATTCCCACCCGACAGCTGTTGTCCTCTGTCCTGTGGGCCGTGTGGTGCGAGGAACCGCGGTCAGGGCCCCGGACTGAACAGCCACGCACGGCACGTTCCCTGCGTTCCTGCGGCACAGCAGGTGAGAATCGCCGGGCTGGAGCCCTGGTGTTGCTGCCAGGGTTTGACCAGTGCATCCAGGTCGGCTCTGGGTCACTGCTTCTCGTCCCCGCTCAGTGACTGTGGTCGTCGGCTGCTGACAGAGGCGGGTATAGCCTGCGGTTTTCTGCGTCACCTGTGCCCTGCGTAGACCTTAGGGGCGACTGCCTCACTGGGATTAGTGCGAGGAGAGAAATTACTGAGGGGCACGCGGACTCCCTGCTTTCCTTTGTAGAAGTTTCAGGTTCTTCAGGCTGATGAGTGGCCCCTGTCCTTCCAGGTCTGAGAAAGTCACACGCCCGGTCCCACAGTGGAAGGGGCAGTGCCTCGGACTTGGAAAAAGTCATGTTGTCACGCACAGTCATGAGTTGGCAGTGTGTGTGTCCACCTTTTCTTTAGTAAGTAAGAATTTTAGTCTGTGTATTATTAGATGGGGAATCTGAAGTTTCCATTTAACAATGTTTACTCGAAGGGGCGGCCTGACGTCCGTGCGGGCAGCAGTGGGAACACACCGTTGTGTGAGCACAACTCTCCGTCTGAGCCACCTGTCGTGGGCAAAGCTACTGCGGTAAGAGTCACCAGTGGGCCTGTGCTCTCAGTGGGAGCACAGGCTGTGGATGTGCTCGCGATCTGCAGGGTGGGCAGTGGGTGTTGAGGACTCGAGGCAGAGTGCGGCTAACAGGGCAGTGGCTGCCATCACTTCGTGGTGTCGGCCGAAGCACCGGTGCCTGTGGGAGGCAGCAGGCCCTGTGCCAAGTGATTTAAGGCCGCCTGGTGCAGACAGACCGGAGCGGTGTTAATTTTGTCTCAGGAGGGCCATGTCAGGAGGGGGGTACCCTGTGCAGTTTGCACAGTCATCTTCCTTAGCGTGCCTTTGCCACGGAGGCTTAGCCTCGCAGCTGCAGGACCTTCAGGGCCAGCACCGGGCTTCTCCGAGCATGTTCGGGGGTCGTGAGTGGAGGCCAGAGGCTGGAGAACTGGTGTGCTTGGGCGGGAAGGGCATGGCCCTCCAGAGGTGGGCAGGGTTGGGGTCAGGGCCTCACTGGGACAAAGTCTGAAGCAGTGAGAGCAGTGGGACTCGTCCCACCGGCGCACAAACCAGAAGCTCGCTGCTGGTTTAGTCCATGTTTGGCATCAGGGGTGATGTAAAGGGGGTACGAGAGAGAACTAGTGTCGGGGTGGTAAGTGATGGAAAAGGGAAATTGGTGATGGAGTTGACGTGGTGATGTGCAATCTCTCAATTAGGGAGCCTTCACCCAGATGAAACGCGCTAGTGGTGTTCGTGGGAGAAGTCGCATCGCTCACAGTCATGGGACAGTGATGTCACCGTGGATTTCAGAGAAGGCAGGAGGGAGAGGTGAACATTCTCGTTTGGTTGACTTCGTGTCTAGAAGCTGATGAAGCTGATGGTCACTGGATTGAGAGATGGTTCAGAAGGTGTTTGACAATCATGTAAGCGGCAGCGGATCACTTAAGTCATTTCTGTAGCCTGGTTGGTCTGTGGTTCCTCCAGAGACCAAGGGGGAGGCAGACCAGAGGCTGTAGCAACCCGGGGCGGCACTGAGGGGGGCCGCGGTGCTCCTGGGCGGTGAGAGGAGGGAGAAGTGCGGGTCGGACATTGGACAGGCACCAGGAAGAAAGGTGCGTGGAGAGGGGTGCCCGCTCCCGCTGTGGAGTGCAGGCTCGACCAGGGGGTCGGAACGCGGTGACCAGAGGTGAGGCGGCGAGCGTGGGGGCTGGTGCCCACGGGCATCTGCCTTGGGTCCACTGGGGCGGCCGTGGCTCCTGAAGCGTACACGGTGCACAGACCCCTGGGCGCCGTCTGTGTGCCACGCCCAGCACCTCACACACCTGCACCCCATCCACTTTCACACTTTCAAGGGTAGTTATTTTTAGGGCAACACCAAAAACAATAGAAGTCAGTGGTACAATAATGGCTTAATTTACTGATAGGACACATACAGTACACAGCAAAGTGCGACAAGGGAACGGCAGCGTGTGGCAGCAGGTAAGGAGTGTGTGGTGTGTGTGGTCTCCTTCTGCCGGGCCCTGGTGGCGCCCTGGGCAGAGCGGCAGCAGCTCTCTCCACCTGTGTCCCGGCTCCCCCACCTCCTCTCCTTCCTCTGCACTGTCCCCCCAATATCTGTCCCTTCTCTTTCCTGGTGCTTCCCCCCCCCCCCCGTGCCGATGCACCCGACCCCTTTCCTCCCGTCACTCTCTGATGTCCATCTCTTTCCTGCTCTCTCTCCCCACCCCGTCCCCCTGCTGTCCTTCTCTCCGCATCCTCCTCTGGGCTCGACCACCTCCCCCCCAGCTTTCCCCAGTTCTGTCTCTTGTTCCTTTTCTCTACCTCCTCGTACCCCCTCTCCCCCCTCCTATACACCCCCCCCCAAACTCCTCTCTCCTTCCTGTCTCTGCCGGTCTCTCCTCAGCCGCTCGCTCTCCTCTGAGTCCCCGGGGACTCTGCGGCTGTCTCCCACTCTGCCCCGCTCCTCCTGCCTGTCCCCGTCACTCTCTCCTATTCGTGTTCTTGTCAGTCTCCTTGGCTCTCTCCCCTTCTCTCCTCCCTCCACCTCTGTCCTAGCCCCCGTCACCTCCATCCTTCACCTCCCCTCTGCCTCCCGTGTCTCCTCCTCTCCTACCACCGACTCTGCCCACTGCCACCTCTCCGTTCTTCTGCTACATCCTTCTCTCCTTCCTCCCTGCGTCACCTCTAGTCCCCCGTCTGTCTCCTTGCTCTCTCTCCCGTCACTCCCCACTGTCGAAGCTCCTGCCTCTCCCCATCCTCTGTCTCCTCCACTGTCTCCATCTCACCCCCCCCTTACACCGGGTCCTGTATCTCCTGTCGCTCCACCCTCTCTACTCCCGTCCCAGCTCCTAACATCGTCTCCTCGCCTTTGTCACGTCCTCTGCTCTGTCACTCCCTCATTTCTGTCTGTCCTCCATGTCTCTCTCTCCTGTGTCCATGTTCCTCTCCCGTATCTGCTGTCCGCAGCCCTCACCTGTCCGTGCCTCCCCTTTCCTCTCACTTCTCTTCCCCGTGTCTCTTCTCTCCCGTCCCGACACGATCACCTCCTCTATTCTGTCCTCTCCCTCCTCAGTCTCTCTCGGCTTTTCTTCTCCCTCCCTCTCTCCTCCTGCGCATCCTCTGCCGTCCACCCTCACCTCTTTCTCCTGCCTCTCCTCTCCTGGGACTCCCAGTCCTGTCTCCCCTCCGTTCCTCCCCCCTGTATCTCTCCTCCCGGCTCTTTCTGGCATCTCCAGCCCTTTGTCCTGGTCTCTCTCCTCCCCCAGCTGCGTACTCCATCTCTGTCCCGTCCCCATCATCTCTCCTCTCTGTCTTCTCTTCCCCTCCCCACCCCGTCTCTGCAGGATCTTGTGCATCTTCATCTCTTCTCAGTCTCCCTCCACTCCTGTGTCCCAATGATGTTGTCTCCTTTTTAGTCTCTTCCCTCTACGCTGCCCCCCCCCGTCTGTCTCATGTCCCTCCAGTCCCTTCCCTGTCCCAGTGTTAGTGTCCCTCCGGAGTCCACTGCCTCTCTCCTGCTGATGCCTCCACGTCCTCAATCTCTCTCCGCTCCCCCATTTCCTCTGCCCAGTCTTTTACCGCGTCCTCTCCTGGCTTCATCTCCTCTCCCCTGTAGCACCGTCTCCCCTTGTGTGTGTCTCCTCCAGTCTCCTTTCTGTACCTGTGACCCCTCCCCCTCCCTGCTCCTGTGTGTCCCCATTTCTCCAGTCTCTGTTCCTTCCTCTCAGTCTCCATCCTGTTCCCCCCCCCCCCCCCCCGTGTCTGTCCCCTCGTTCCATTCACTGTCTCTCTCCTCTCTTGCCTGTCTCTCCCCTAAGGTAGAAAAAAAAGGAGAGTGACAACAAGGCACAGGAGAGACTGGACACAGGAGGAGAGAGAGACCCAAAGGTAAGACGCACAGTACAGCGCAGAGGAGAGAACGTTGGAAGTAGGACACAGGCTGGGAGGAGACAGGGACGAAAGGACAAAGACAGACTAGAGACACAGAGGGTGAAACAGACCACCTAGGAGAGGGGGGTGAACATCAGGTGAGGGTGGGCAGGAGGACGGAGCGAGGAGACGGACGGAGGAGGCAGATGAGTGTGGGGGGGGGGGAGACAGACACGACAGACGGGTGAGAGCTGTGGAAGGCTGGAGAGAGGAGGACAGACGGCAAAGGGAGTAGGAAAGGTCCCGCAGAGGCGGCAGAGGAAGACAGGCTGGGACAAGACAGGAGAAGGGTCAGAGGCAGACGGGACAGACACACGGGAGGCGGAAGGAGAGGAAGCAGGTGAGAGACGGGCCCCACGGAGGAGGGTGCACTGGAGAGACCAGAACTGGACGAGGGCGGAAGAGAAGAGGCCGGACGGAGCAGGGGCAGCGTGGGGCCCGGAAGGACAGGCGGACCCCGAGAGCAGTCACTCAGACAGGATCCAGTCTTTATTTGGCAGCTCAGCAGCGGTGGGGCGGCGTGTCCTCGAGGTGTCCCGGTCCCCGGCACGGCGGGGCTCTGCGCGCCCCCACCAGGGAGCCCCCGGCGCGGTCCGCCTCCCCCCGAGGAGCCCGTAAGCTGGGCCCGAGTGGTCCTCCCTCCCCTCACCTGACGGGGGGTGGGCCGATTCTCGCCGTCACCGGTCAGTCACTCAAACCCGTGCCCACCCTCTGCCATATTCAGTGACGGGGGCACCTGTCCCAGCAGGCACAAGCCTGGAGGCACTCGGGACCTTCTTGTCATCCTGGAGATGGCCCGCCCCCTCACTCCACCCGCATGCGCCTGTGCTACAGACCGGCCGAAGGGCACTCACCGGGAGCGGGGCTTCCGCGCTGTCCTGCAGGTGCTTCTGCGGGTCACTGTCACTTTTGAAGTATTTCCTGGGTGGGGGCTTGGGCTTGGAGGACGATGGCTTTCTGACGAAAATCTCAAATGATTTCTTCAGTCCCAGGGCAGCGTGGTCTCCCTGTGTCTGTGGGAGGGGCGGGCTCTGTCGGGGGCGCCTGGCTTCCGGCCCCAGGGACCCAGCGGGGCCGACTGCGCTGTCTTCCAGGTCCCGGGGCTGCTGCTGTCCAGCTCGGCTGGGACTGCCCGCGGGGGATCCGGACACGTGGCTGCTGTCACTGCTGGAGCGGGCCAGGACCCTCTGGGCCCTGCGCTGCAGGGGTGCCGAGCTGTCCTTGTCCCCGGCCGGCCGCCCGTGCCAGCTGCTCTCCAGCCTTTTGGCGCCTGTGGGGGAAGCAACGGGTGCGGGGCCGCTGAGCGCTGGGCCCAGCTGCTGGCAGCCTCTCCTCACAGCGCCGTCCACAGCCCGGCAGCGTGGGGTTCCGTGCGCAGTGGACTGTGGGACTTCAGTGTGGGAGTGTCGCCCCCCCATTTCTATGTGAGAGACGCAGCTGCACATGCCAGCGTGACCACCGCGGCAGCCCGGTGTCCCAGTGGCGAAGAGGGCCGCCTGTACCATGAGGCTGCCGAGCAGCCATGACCAGTGGGACACTCATTGCAGCCCCGGGGGCTGGACCGAGCTGTGTGCATCTGGGTGACCGCACAGTGCCCATGATGGTCATTCTGTCAGGTTCCTGGGGTACGAGGTGACTGAGTTTCCAAAGTCACAGCTTTCTGAGAAGACACGGATGTCTGTGTGTGTGTGAAATAAAAGCCGCGCACCCCTTACCTTCCAGACTGCACTGGTGTCTCTCCTTCCCAAACCGGAGGGTCTCTGCGGCCTGGGCCACCGCATCTTTGAGCTGCTGTTCAGACACCTAAAAAACGTCCATCATCTGAGAACGACCACCAGGGAAGAGTGGTCCTGGGCCCACCCCACAGGCAGGCCTAGGGGGCCATTTCCGTCCCTGGACCTGCAGTGCCAACAGCTGACCGACCACATGCAGACGCACACACTGGGGGCATCAGCGGTGGGCTGGTCCCTGAGCAGGTTGTAGGTGAAGTCCAAAGTGTCCGCACGGGCCCCACTCTGCGGCCTGCTGCCCAAGCGGGCAGGGGCAGGGGCACCACCTCACAGGCCCTCGGGGGTGGGTGCCGCCCTGGGAGCCCCTCGGTGTCTGCAATGCTGGTGGCGCCACTTGAACTGACAGAGAACAGGCTGCCAATGAGCAGAGGGGAGGGACTTTCAGGGGAAGAAGGGAAGGGTTTGCAGGAACAAGGACGAAGGACACACAGACAACGACAATGCAAGGGAGGGGTTGCCACCAGGGGGGAGGTGGGGAGGGAGTAAAAGGCAGACAACTACCTGGAACAACAATTACAATAGTACACAAACAAATACATAACAAATACAAGAAAATCCTTTCCTTGTCTGTCTCAGCCAACAAAGGGCTAGAGAGAGGTGACAACAAAACCAAACAAACAACCCAAACAAAAAGCAGGCAGAAGACAGCCAGGAATGGGGTTCTCCAAACAACCAGGCAAACAACCAGGAGGCGGGTGAAAACGCCCCCACACAGCCTCTGGGAGGCTGCGGCTCCGTGGACTGAGTTCGGCCTGGGAACCAAAGGGTCGCAGGTCCGACTCCCCTGCAGGGCACAGGCCGGGGCTGGCGGCCAGCTCCTCAGTGGGGGGCACTAGAGAGGCAACCACATGGATGCTTCTCACCCTCTTTTCCTCCCTCCCCTCCCCCTCTCTCTGAAAGTGAAGAAATACTGAAGTCTGGTTAAAGAAAGAAACAAAAGGATTTGTTTGCACGTGGATTAGCAAAGAACCCCATCCATCCAGACACAGACACGGACGACCGCGTGGGGACGACCAGAGGGAAAGGCGGTGGGAGGGGGAGACCTGACTGGGTGGTGGACACACAGGGCGATCCACAGCCCACGGGCCGCACAGCCACACACCTGAAACCTGTGTGACTTCCTTAACCAGCCTCGCCCCAGTCCATGCGAAACACCTGGAGCCCGAGACTCCGGCCCCACTGCGCACGAGCCAGGAACCCGCCGACCAGTCAGACTCCCTAACGTCCAGCCCGCTCTGCCTCCCACTGCAGGGAAGGGCGCCCCTGGATTCTGGAAATCTAACCTCTGGTGGTCCAGGCTTTGGTCTCCCAATGCCCCTCAGTCACCACCACTCTGTGCAGCAGCTGCCATTGTGTCAGTCCCGCTAGGGCACCCACTGCGCGCCTCCGTGTCCCTCCCCTGGGGCCTGTCACGCAGCTGCACGAGCCGCGCCCTGGTGCCACCGCCCGAGGCGGCCAGGAGCCGGTCAGGGAGCCTGTGCTGCTGCAGACCTTGGTCACCGCACACACTTGGGACTCAAACAAACGGAGGTGGAAACCCAGCCGTGTCTCCTCCCGAAGTCGTCACTCAAGCAGAGCGAGCGTGGTGAAGACCGGAGGCCCCGAGCGCCGTTACCTGTGGGTCTGGGTGCCGGCTGACGGTGATGGGCACGGGCCCGGGGCTGCAGCGGCTCAGGACCGCGTGGGCGTCGTTGAGGGACATGCAGTGCACGGGGGACTCGTTGATCTCCACGATCTCGTCGCCGCACCTGCGAAAGCACGGACAGCAGGCCGTGGGCAACGCTCGGGGCGGGGCGGGGCGGCGCTCCTGCCGGGCCTTCTCGCGGGACTTCAAAGCCATGATTGAGCAGACGTCCGTGGTCACCTGACAAACGCAGAGCAGGGCGGCCCGAGGCCGCACACAGCTCACCCCCGGCCCAGCGAGCAGAGTAAGAAGACGGAGGAGCAAAAGCTCCTCTGGGTCTGCCCCCCCGGCCCTCTCACACACTCAGGGGGTCACAGCCGGTCCGTGGGCCTCCGTGTCCCCGTGGGAGCCCGTGTCAGGGGGAAGGAGGGTTGGCTGTGCTGAGAGGTGAAGAGGAAATAAGCGGGCGGGGAAGGAACTGAGGTGCTCGCAGGACGACACTGGGAAGGAAGGGGACGGCCTCGTTCCGGCTGTGCAGTGAGAGCCGAACGAGGAAAACAGGAAGCACAAAATAGCCACACCTGGACAAGGGGGGTTTGCACAGTCCAGCCCCAGGTGCACAGACGGGGAAACTAAGGCACGAAGGCCAACATCCCCTCCCCAACAATAAATGCCTTGCTTAGGACTTCCAGCCAAGATGGAGGCGTAGGTAGACACACGGTGCCTCCTCGCACAACCAAAATAAGGACGACAACAATTTAGAAACAAAGTAACAACCAGAACTGACATAATAGAACTGTATGAGAGTCCGACAACCAAGGAGTTAAAATAGACACATTCATCCAGGCCGGTAGGAGGGGGCGGCCAGGCAGAGAGGGGTCGTGGCAAAAAAAGCGGTGGCACCCAGTGCCCGGCAGCAGCTGACAAAAACCCTGGGCACACGAGAGGGCGGTGGGCAGACCCAGTGAGGCAGCAGTTGGGAAGCCAGGCACAGTGAGCAAGGCGGCTTGGTGGACGAGATGGTCCCACATTCATACACAGATAAACCAGGCAAAACTGGGGAGGGAGACAGACCACGCAACCCAGGGTTCCAGCACCAGGAAATAAGCCTCAAAACACTGACTGAAAACACCTGTGGGGGTTGAGATGCCAAGAGACTCCCAGCCTCACAGGAGAGTCCATTGGAGAGACCGCAGGGTCCTGGAACGTACACAAACCTGCCCACCTGGGTATCAGCATGAGAAGCGCCCAGTTTGCTTGTGGAAAGCGGTGGAAGGGACTGAAATTCGAGAGAGAGTGGAGCAAGTGCCATTGTTCCCTCTCCGACCCGAGCCCACATACTGCGTCATAACCCAGTGACCTGCATGGCCCCGCCCTGGTGAACACCTAAGGCTCCACCCATCATACGTAACAGGTGCGCCAAGACTAATAAAATGGCCCAAATGGACGAACACAGCAAAGCTCCAGAACAAATACGACTAAGCAACCAAGAGATAGCCGACCTATCAGACACACATTTCAAAGCACTGGTGATCAGGATGCTCACAGAATTGGTTGAATTTGGTTGCAAATTAGATGAAAAAATGAAGGCTACGCTAAGTGAAATGAAGGAAAATGCACAGGGAACCAATAGTGATGGGAAGAAAAACAGGACTCAAATCAATGGAGTGGACCAGAAGGAAGAAAGAAACAACCAAATAGAAAAGAATGAAGAAATAAGAATTTGAAAAAATGAGGAGAGGCTTAGGAACCTCCGGGACATCTTTAAACGCTCCAACATCTGAATTATAGAGGAACTAGAAAGGGAAAAAGAAAACCAGTAAGTGGAAAACTTATTTAAACAAATAATAAAGGAGAATTTCCCCAATCTGGCAAAGGCAATAGACTTCCAGGAAGTCCAGGAAGCTCAGAGTCCCAAAGAAGTTGGACCCAAGAAGGAACACACCAAGGCACATCATAATTACATTAGCCAAGATTCAAATGAAGGAGAGAATCCTAGAAGCAGCAAGAGATAAGGGGACAGTCACCTACAAAGGAGTTCCCATCAGACTGTCAGCTGATTTCTCAAAAGACACCTTACAGGCAAGAAGGGGCTGGAAAGAAGTACTCCAAGTCATGTAAACCAGAGACCTACAACCAAGATTGCTCTACCCAGCAAAGTTTTCGTTTAGAATGGAAGGGCAGATAAAGTGCTTCTCAGATAAGGTCAGGTTAAAGGAGTTCGTCATTACCAAGCCCTTATTATATGAAATGTTCAAGGGACTTATCTAAGAAAAAGAAGATAAAAAAGCTGAACAGTGAAAGGAAAGCAAACTCACAATTATTAATAAGTACACCCAAAACAAAAACAAAAGCAAACTAAGCAAACAATTAGAACAGGAACCGAACCACACAAATGGAGATCAGGTGGAGGGTTAGCAACAGGGGAGTGGGAGGAGGAGAATGAGGGAAAAGGTACAGAGAATAAGTAGCATAGACGGCAGGTAGAAAATAGACAGGGGAGGGCAAGAATAGTATGGGAAATGTAGAAGCTAAAGAACTTATGACACATGGACATGAAATAAAGGGGGGAATGTGGGTGGGGACGGTGTGCACGGTGGAGGGGAGTGAAGGGGGGAAATGGGACAACTGTGATAGCATACTCAATAAACTATATTTAAAGACAAAGAAAAAGAAAAAATAACTGCCTTGCTCAGGAACCAGACGTTTTTCTGGAGAGGCCAACGTGCACCTGCACAAGGTGCCGTGGGCCACACTGTCTGTCTCAACAACTCAGCCGCTGCCGGAGGAACACGGCCACCAGAGACAGCCGGTCAGCAGGCACCTGGGCTTTGCCCCAGCGCACCTGTGTTTAAACAAAACCCGGGCAGCAGACTCCCGTGTGCTCATCCGGCCTCACTGCCCATCAGCAGGGACGACACTGGGACTCGGGTGACCTGCGGCAGCCTGCGCCTCCTCCTGCCCAGGTGGCCTGCGCACCCGTTCCGGCTGTGCTGACCAGAAGGCAGGCAGGCAGGCGCCCATCCTGAAGGCCGTGCCCACACAGCACCACACGCCGGGGACAGCAAAGCCCCCCACGCAGGTGCAGGAGCAGGACTGACACCATCAGTCCTTCTCTGCGGTCAGGCCCCCGGAGCACACGGAGACAAGCAAACCCACCCCTCTCTCGGCAGCTCAGTCCAAACCCAGCCTGACCAGGGCAGGTCTTTGCAGACTGCCGTGACCAGACCACCTTCAAAACCAGGGCAACACTCGGCTGGCTGAGCGAAACACAAACCCAGTGAGAGAGGATGCACACGAAAACAGAGAGAGACAGCCTGAGACGAGACGGTCCATGTGCGGACACCGAGGCGGGCACGCATCAGCTGCTAGACCGGAAAAGGTGCCGTGACCGCGTCCACACCACTGACTGAAAGGACACTTCCTATCTCCACTTTCCCTACCAGCTACGCGTCCAAACACAAGTCGGGTGGCCCGTCGACACACAGCTGATACGGGGTTGGCATCCACGGCGTAGCAACACCTTACACAACACCTAAACAACAAGTGACCAACTGCAACGTGGGCAAAGGACCAGAACAGACACTGGTCCAAACACAAAGGACACGCAGGTGGCCCGGAGGCATGACAAGGTGCTCGGCGTCACTCGTCAGAGACACGTGAACTAAACCCACGGTGAGAAGTGACCTCGCACCCGTCAGAACGGCCACCAGCAAGAAACTGACACATGGCGAGTGTTGGCGAGAACGGACAGAACCGGAGCCCCGTGCACTGTTGGTGCGATTGTGAGCTGGGGCAGCCGCTGCGGAAAGTTCTACGGAAAACACTCAAGAAATGAAACACGGAACTGCCTTCTGACCCGGTGGTTCCACTGCTGGGAGTCTATCCGAAGGGACCCGAACACCCTCTGAACGGACGTGAGCGCCTCACGTTCACTGCAGCGTCGCCTACAGTCGTCAAGACGCGGAAGCAGCCGGCCTGCCCCCGGGAGGCGAAAGGGTGGAGACGCTTACACACTCACGCTACTACCCGTTTACACAGCGCACCACTGCTGGGCCACGAGGAAGAAGAGAATGTTGCCCTTTGGGACAGCGTGGCTGGACCTGGAGATGGCGCAGCTGCGTGAAATGAGCCAGAGAAAGACAAACACTGTCAGGACGGGCGGGCAGGACAAAATGGCGGCTGAACGACAACCCGGAAAAGACGGCTGACGTCAAACCAGAGAGCCGGAAGTGCTGGCTGGGCCGAAACGGATATCCGCACAGCAACCTGAGCCCGAGGAGAACCACCAATGATGTACTGCCGCTTTGTTCAAAGGGGACCAATCCCCAGCTCCCACGGAGAGAGCAACTAGAATAAACCCCGCCACGTTCCCTGCTTGGGCGTGACTTGGGAACCTCACCTGGGTGCACAAACCCCAATAAAGCTCCGTACCACCTAATTTTGTGGCTGATTGGCATTTCTTCCTCGGCGGAGCCTAAGAAAACCTTTCAAATGCCACCTGATCTCGTACATGGCACCTGGGGGACAAAATAAACTCACAAACCAGAAACAGAGTCAGATACAGAGGAGAGACTGAGAGGTGTCAGAAGGGAGGGAGGTTGGGGGACTGGGTGAAAAAGGGAAAAGGATTAAGCAAAAACAAAAATACCTCATAGACACAGAAAGGGGTGGGGGAGGGGAGGGAGGGGAGGGAAAGGTGGGTACGTGTTGATGGAGGGAGACCTGACTTGGGCTGCTGAACACACAGTACAACATACAGATGATACATCAGAATTTACACCTGAAACGTCTACGATTTCATGAACCCGTGTCACGCTAATAAATTCAGTAACAATTTTAAGAAAAGGAATGCCTGAAAATACTTTCTTTAAGCCGCAGGTCAGTCGGGACCACGGACCCCTCAGGGGCCTTTCCCTGCAGAGGGCGCAGGGGTGAGCCTCGCTGAGGCCGGCCGAGGGCGCTCCTTCCCCCCGGGCAGGTTGGACCTGAACCGAATTGCAGCCACACCGCATGTCCTCCTTATCCTGCCGTCCTCCCAGATGAGGCCGCTCCGCCCTCCCTGGCCACGCCGACCTCAGGGACCCTGGTGAACCCAGACTCGGGCGCAGCAGGTCTGGGAGGGGACAGGACCCCGGGTTTCCAACACACTCCCCGGTGGCTTCCACGCTGCTGGGCCACAGAGTCTCTCGTCTCCACAGCAGCCTCCCGACGGCCTAGGAACCCCCGCTGTTGTGCATCAGGGGTCTTCCCAGAACCAGAGAAAGGGACCTACCGCAGCCGTCCGTCCAGATGCGCCACCGACCCCGGCGAGAGCGTGTGCACGAAGATGCCGGAGATGCACTGGAAGTAGGGCACACTGCACAGGCCGATGCCCAGGCCCACGCCGGCCTCTGCGGACAGACGGGAGGGGCTGCTCAGGCTCCCTGGGGCCCGCACACGGTCACCTCGGTCACTGTCCCCTCCTGACCACGGCAGGGATGCCACCCGCACTGAGGGACCACCGCTGTGGCTGGGCGCTGCTCTGGGGGCCATCTCAGCGCTGAGCGGCAGGGACATCGAAAGAGGACAAGTGGGGAAGGGTGGGAATGGGGGGAGGCAGGGACGGTTAGTGTCGTGTGGGTGATGTGGTGGAAAGGACAGCGGGGCCACTCAGGCCTCACAGGGGACAACGTTTAGGCTACATTACAAAGGACAGGGACAAACCAGGGGCCGGCCAGGGAGAAGCGGACCCTCTGGCGGCCACTGCGGGCCCCAGGGACACGGGATGAGAGTGCGTGCGCAAGCAGGCCTGCCCGCCCCAAGGAAGAGGCGTGGCCCGGTTTCTGCTTTTCCCTATTTCACTGGCTGCCGTGAAGGGAGAAAGAGGAGCGGTGAAGAAGGGAGCCCAGGAGACCAGTCGAGGAGCCACAGATCGGGGCTCACACTTTTAAGGGATGTTAACTGAAGCACAGAAAGACGAAGGGAGGGAGGAGGGAGCGTTTGTGTGCGGTTTGCTTTCTGCCTGGGTCGGCCAGTGTCTCCTGGGACCTGTGGACGCACAGCACCTGCGCTGCCAAGTGCGGGTGTGCTCCTGGACCACACCGCCCCGTCCCCAGAGACACCCAGTGAGGGAAGGTGGGGGGAGGGGGCCTCCGGGAGGAGGCACGCACTACCTTTGGTCAGGGACACCTCCACCAGGACTCTGTAACTGGGCTTGCGGGCGCTGGCAGCAGCCTCTGAGCCTCCCAGCAGGAAGGCGCTGCCGTCCTTGGTGGCACAGGAGCTGGAGCTCAGGGAGCGGCACAGCGGGGGCGACAGGTGGCTGCTCGGGGGGTGGGGGGCCGTCAGGCGGGTCCGCACCGTGAGGGTGAGCAGCCCCTTTTTGGCTTGCTGAAAGGGAAGAGAAGGCGCCTCGGAGCTCAGGGCTGACTGAGGGCAAGGTGCAAAAAAACAGGCCTCCAAACAGCCATGTGTGAGCGTGTGTCTCACATGTGTATACCAGAGAGCACACATTACATGTAGGATGCATGTGCAGTACATACAAAGATTTGAGTCTTGAACTATCGAAATAGAACGGAGACTGAAAAGTGCTTTTTAGTGATCACCTTACAGACCAGACACAGATTTGTAACTGTATCCACGTGAACAGAGAAAGTTTTCTAACTGGTCCGAGCATCCTCAGTAGCTGACATGCACCCCCACCCCCCACCGGAGCAACAGCCACACGACTGTTTTCTGAGCCTGGCTTTCCTTTCACGCTGGGCCCCCCCCCTTGGGGCCCCACCAGTAGACCCCACAGCCTGAATCTGCAGGTCTGAGTGAGGAGGGCAACGCCCGGGGTTGGGCGGCATCTTGCTAACAGACGATCACCTTAAACTTCTGCAAGGCGTCCTGATGGGTCAGTCCTGCCATTGATTCGCCGTTGAGCTCCAGAATTTCGTCACCTATCGGGACAGGGAGAAACTGTGGCTGACGAGACTGCTGCCCCATCAGGAACATCCTCCTTACTTTGCTGGAACTCGGGGCTCGCCCTCCTGACCCGGGTTTGCATAGAGCACAAAGGACTGCGAAGACATTTCTCATGTGGTATCCAAGCCCCCGCCCCACCTCCCGCTGAAGTTGCAGGGGCAGCATGACGGGCACCTCGGGCCTCCCAGGGCATCAGCGTTCTGAGCCGGGCACAGGTGGCCTGGCCTGGTCCCTGTCCACCTCCTTCCCTGTGGCCTCAGAGGTAAAAAGTCCACCCCACCCACAGCAACCCGACGCCTATCAAAACATCCGTGGCTTTTCTCACACGATGAGAACAAACAGTCTTAAAATGTACACAGAACCACAGAAGACCCTGAAAAGCCAAAGATCTTGGAAGGAAGCACAAGGCTGGGTGTATCACGCGACCCGATAGCAAACTGTACTACAGAGCCACAGCGCTCACAACACCACGGTCCTGTCATAAAACGGACACACACGACAGAACAGAGAGCCCAGAAATAAACTCAGAGGGAACTACCACAGGACACAGCGATTCCACTGCTGGGAATTTACCTGAAGAAACCCGAACACTAACGGAAAAAGACTCATGTACCCCTGTGCTCATGGCAACATGATTCACAGTAACCAAGGCATGCAGGCAGCCTGGGTGTCCAGCAACAAATGAGCAGTAAAAGAGTTGTGATACAGATACACAACGGAGCATTACTCAACCGTAAAAAAAAAAAAAAAAAAAGAAAGAAAGAAAGAAATCTTGCCATCAACAACCGGGATGGACCTAGAGGGTATGGTGCTCAGTGAAGTAAGTGAGAGAATGACAAACATCCCAGGATGTCACTTACATATGAAATCTACAACAACAAAGCCAATCAACAAACAAAGCAGAACCAAACTCAAGCTATAGAGAGAACAGACCTGGCTGGTGTAGTTCAGTGGATCCAGTGCTGGCCTGCGAACCAGGGGTCGCCGGTTCCATTCCCAGTCAGGGCACCTGGGTTGCAGGCCAGGTCCCCAGTAGGGGGCGCACATCAGGCAACCACACGCTGACGTTTCTCTCCCTTTCTCCCTCCCTTCCCCTCCCTCTAAAAATAAAATAAATTTTTAAAAGTCTTTATTCTTAAAAAAAAGATGACAGAACAGACTGAAGGTCACCAGAGAAGAGGGGACTGAGGGGACACAGGGGAGGGACTGAGAGCACAGCCCGGCAGTCAGAGAGTGGTCACGGGAGGTGGAGCGCAGCTGAGGGAACAGCGTCACTAATACTGGGGTGGCGCTGGTGTCAGCTGGGCACTGGGCCCCGCAAATGGCAGGAACGTGTGAAGGTGTAACCGAGACGCTGCACACACCGCCGGCCAACTCTGCTATAAAGAGCAGGAATGGAACATAAACCCACGAGACCCCATTTTCTATGCTCCCGCTGCTCCCCCCCTTGCTCCCTGCGATACGTCATCTCTCTTCACGCAGACCAGAAACCCACGTGTTTTCTCCGACCTGCCCCTCATGTGCCACCTCCCAGGATGTCACCTGTGCCATCGGCACCTCCTGCCCCCGGTCCCTCTGCAGGCCAGGCCCTCGGGCCTACAGCGCAGTGGATGCCAAAGCCGACGTACTTCCGGTAGGCAAGTGAGAGGGTAGGTACTGCCCACGACCCAGCCCTGTAGCCCCGAAGCATCACAGACGAGAGGCCAGTGAGCGGACATGGCCGCATCCGTGTACAGCTCTCTGTGGAGACTGAAATCTGACTTTCCTTGAATGGGCACAGGCACCACAAGAATCAGAAATCCTTCTGACCGAATGGACACAGAAAGACACACGCTGACATTACATCTACTCGACTCACAGCTCTGTGGCACCAGGCAGAGCTCGACTGCCGCCTGCCTGCCCTGCCCTGCCTCAGACCCGCCCAAGGGAGGAGAGCGGGGCGCCCCCGCCCCAACCCCCACGGGTGAGCGGCCCAGGCTGCAGGGCCTCCCCTGCGCTCTGTGAATGCCTGGCCCTGAGTTCTGCCTCCTAGGGCTAAAACCCATTGCCTAGCAATGGAGGACACCTGCCCCCGCAGGACAAGAAGACAGGGCAGGGCACTCAGGAGGCACCTCGTGTCCCCGACTCTTGAGCTAAGAGCAGGAGAATGGGCAGGAATGCAGCCAGCAGCTGGCGGACCAAGAACTCCCGCCAACAGGGACCACGTCTGGGAAGTCTCCATCCCTGGCGCCTAGAACACAGCCGGCCAGCAGAGGGCGTCTCCCCAGCCGACTGGACGCACTGAGCCCGGTGTCCCATAGCTGTGAGGCAGAGAGAGCGAGGACAGGGCAGGAAAGGGCCGTCTGGCTGTGCACGTGGGAACCAGGAGGGAGGAGGCCGTGGTGCGCAGACGCCGGGATCTGTGAGCTGCTGCGCTCTGAGGGGTCAGGACGCACCCCGCCTTCCCAGGACCCGAGGTGGCGCTGGGGACGGTACCTTCTTGTAGCCGGCCGTCGGCGGCAGCGGCGCCCTCCGCGAAGATGGTTTTGACATAAATGCCGATGGGGCCATAAATGCTGTCCTTTCCCCCCACGATGCTGAAGCCCAGGCCCTGGGGAAGGAAGAGCAGACTCAGACTGGGGAGGGTCCCCTGAGGCCCCAGCCCTGCACCCAGGACTCAGGGAGCGATGGGGGCTCTGGTTGCAGGGTCTTAGGACTGAACGGCAGAGATGGGAAGCTGTGTGTGATGCTGAGGCCAGGCAGGGCCGTGCACCCTCCGGAGGTCCTGCACGGGCTGGTGGCCCACACAGAGGGTGCCTGGGTGGACACTCCCCTCCACTGGCAGTTCTGGGCAGCCACTTCCTGTCCCTGAGCTCACCTTTTCTTAGAGGATGGTGCTGGTGCTGACAGCCTCTCACTCACAGGCTGTTTCCACAACAAACACCACCCCCCCCCCACCTCGGCAGCCACAGCCCCCCCGGGAGGGCCAGTGCACAGCATGGCTCCCCAGGAGGGGCTCCCTGTCCCACCAGCGCTGTCCCTGCCCGCTGTCCTGCCCCAGCCCTCCCCTGGCCGAGGACATGTTGCCGGCCTGCCCTCTCCCTCGACTGGGCCCTGAGCTGACCGCCTTCCTGCGGGCCCTTCAGTTCGTGACCCGGCCCACACGTGCCAGCCAGGGTTGGGTGACAGCCCCCCAGTGACACAGAAGCAGACACTCTGACATACATTCCACCACCCTGGCCCATCCTTGCAGGAGTCTCGGTGCCCTTTTCCACTGTGCGCTCATTCGACCGAGGCAAACGATCTGAGAGTCACCTATTTCTGAACGTCTACCTCAGTGTGTGTGTGTGTGGGGGGGGACACAGCATGGTGACTGCCCGGCCAGAAAGCGGGGTTGGGTGGATGCAACTCAGGAGTGGAGACGGCCACTCCGGTGACCAGAGCCCCGGCAACCTCAGTGTCCCCTCCTGTCTCCTGAGCTCCCAGGACACAGAAGCGAGGAGGGGGGAGAGCGAGGACTCTGGGGGTGGGGCCTGGCGGCCATTCCCTTCCTCCGACACAGCAGCTCCTCAGACCCGGGGTCACTCCAGAGATTTCCGTGGGCAACAGCGCTGCTCACCTTGGCCTGGCCCTTCATCAGCACCACGTTGGAGATGACGGACGCATGCAGGCCCCCCGAGGGCTGCAGGAGCTGGGCCGTGCTCAGGGAGCGCGTGGGCCTGGAGGCGCCCTGTAACAGGGACAGACAGGTGGGGGCGGTGAGTCCATGGGAAGGAGCACACCCCTCCCTGCCAGGGATGCCCCAAAAATGCCCTCTCCCCTGAGGGCCCACCGGAGCAGGGTGTGGCTGGGGTGCACAGGGGCTGCGTCTGGTGGTCCCAGGAGCCGACTTTGCTGGGCCTGACCTCCCCGCAGACTGGCAGCCAGGCTGCGTGCGGACTTCCAGGCCACACTGACCGGAGACGGTGCGTCTTCTAACCAAAGTCTCAAGCAAGGCTGGAAAGCCGACTGTCAGGAACGCCCCCCACAGAATGCAGGACACGTTAACTAAGACCTACTCTGCGCCAGGCCAGGGGCAGCAGGCAGGGGCCAGGAACCCGAAGGTCTAGACGCTCGGATCACAGGCCCGAGGCAGGAGCACAGGGGAGGGGCCCCCACGCGGGAGAAGCAGCGCCTCCCTCACACCCTGTGCAGTGCGAGGGGTGGCGTGGCCTGGGGGTCAGGGCTCACACTCAGAGCCCCACTGACCGCTGCTTCTCCTGGGTCTGTCACTGTCACCTGGTGACCTGGGGCAAGGGACGTCACCCCTCCACACCTCAGGTTCCCTGCCCGTAACAGGATCTGTACTGGGAGGCCATTTTTTCCCAGCACTGGAACACCAGTGTCTCCCACTTGCGATCAGAAACCGTGGTGACTCATGGAAGGGAAGGCACAGGAAACTCTCAGGCCCCTGCCGCCTGCCTGAGCTGGGATGGCCAAATGCCCCAGGACCAGCGGCCCACCCTGGAGAGCCCACGGTGTGTGTGGGGGGAGGCAGGCGCCAGCAGAGATGAGCACACCAGGGAGACCTGCGGGGGAGCTGGGACGGGCACTGGGAGGGTCGGGAGGGTTTCCCGAGGGGTGAGGGACAGGAGGGCAAGGCTGCAGCCAGAGGGCGCCCTGTGACCGCAGTGGCGGCTGCAGCCCAGGCAGGAGCTGCCTGCTGGCTGGGCTTGGGGCTACAGGCAGGCTGCTGGGGCACGTGGAGACACTGCTTAGCGCCCCAAATGCGAAGCGCTGGCCACACTGTGAAGGGCATGGCCTGGGGGGCCACCAGGGGCTGGCCCTTAGGGTCGTAAGATGTATAAACTCAGCCTTGCTAAGCTTCCGTGTCCTCCTGTAAAATGGGGCCCATGTAAGGCCTTTCTGAAATCATGTTCATAAATCGAGTCACCTATTACAGGGGTTAAAAATCAGGTTCTGGAGCCTAGAGAGATAATGTCAAGCCCCCCCACCCCACCCCGACAATCCACGTGACTGGCCCGGGCCCCGCCCCTCGTCCTGCTCTGGAGCCCAGGGGTGCGGGGCAGCCCAGTCCTTGGTCAGAGGGGGGTGGCTGCTGGTGCGCAGAAGCGGCAGCATTTGCAGGCTCCTGCCACACGGGGGCGCTCCGGAGACTACGGTCCCGTTGTGGTCCTTTGCCCAGAGTGGGCCATGCCCGTTGAGCTGCACCCTCCTCCCTGCAGTTCTGTGGACAAGAAACCACCCCAAGTCTTGTTCAGCCCCCGCCGAGTCAGGTCTCCCCCCACCACCACCAGAGGCTTACCCCGGCCTTCCCTGCAGGACAGTCCAGCTGCTGAGAAAGAGACTTCCGGCTGCTGCAGAGCGAGTAAGGCGGCCGGTCTGTGGCGGTGGCCGTCTTCCCGGCCACGGGGAAGTCTGTCTCTGCGGTGCAGTAGGGGTTGACGCCTGGACCGGCAGGGGAAGAGAGGGATGTGTTTGTGCGGGAAACGGCAGGGAACAGCAGCCCCAAGGGGCCGGCCCTCCTGGGTCAGGGGGCCCAGGGCCCGCGAGGGGCAGACAGAGTCACGGCGGGCGACGCTGCGCTTCTCTCTTACTGCGCCTTCAGCGCCCTCCGCGGCCTCCGCACCGCAGGCCGCAGGCGGAACTCTCGTGTGCACGTCCCCTCAGCTCACCCCACGGCGGACAGACCAGGGCGCCCAGAACAGGCAGCACCAGAGGGGGAACCTGGCGGCCTCCCGTGGGCACGTCTCACCTCCCACGAGGACCTGAGGCCTCCCACACGCATGCACACACACGGGCATGCGCACGCCCCTGACACGGGCAGAAAGCCAACTCCCGCTTCTTCGGGGAGCTGAGGAAATGCAAAGCCACCGGCTTCCTCTCCCGGGAACCCCAAGCCTGCTTTCCTCCGACTAGGAACCCCACCACATCCAGCTGCCCAGGCTGGCAGGGGTCCATAGTAAGGCGTCCCCCCACTGAGATGGGCCGGAAGCCACGTGCATGACACTTCCAGTGGCCACATTAAGAAAGGCGAGGGAAACAGGATTAACGATACAGTCCAATCAGTCCAGTGTACTAAATGACGTCATAACGGATAACAACACGTAACATTACTTCTGAGATTGTCCATCCTTCCTGCATTCAGTGCAACTGCTGGACCCTGCGCGTCTGCGGCCCGTCCTGCGCTTCCCGGCGAGTGAGCCTCACACCACAGGCTCAGGCTGTGGCCTGTGGACACTGCACTGGACAGCACAGCTCCAGGGGTCCGGAAGGGCAGGGCTTTCCCAGTGTCCCTCAGCTCCAGCGAGGAACAAGGCTTGTGTGGAAACCCCCGGGGAGAAAGCTGAGAGATGGGAGTAGTTCGGGGGGAAGGCAGTTGGCAGCGTTCTGCCCTTGGGGTGGGACAGACTCAGGCTGTGTGCAGGCTGCAGAAAGCAAGTCGCTGGCCGGGCTGGGCTCAGGAAAGAGGAGAAAACGGGCGTCGGGGTGTGAGGCTGTGAGACCGGCAGGGGTCGGGGCGGGGGAGGCGTGGGGCACCAAGGAGAGGCCTTCCTCCCCCTGCTCTGAGACCCTCGACTCCTGGAAACAGCTGGGGCTGTGCTCCTGCCAGGGGTGGGCAGGTGGGCAGAAGCCTGCGTAGGGCTGTGAGCACACGAAAGTTTGCCCTTATGTTATTTATTATGGACTAATTATTGTGTAGTTCCCTACTTTTGTCCCACCCTGCATACCGAAATCATTGTCCAGCAGGGGGGTAGTTAAAACCAGTTACAGGTGTAGCATTGAGTTCGCTGACAATGTGGTTATAAAACCCAATGCAAATGCCTAAACAGTATTGGAAAGTGAAACCGTATAGTGAGATGATTTGATAATAACAACATGAGCTTATGATTTAGTTGAGTTGGACCGGGAAATGGATGGGAGATGGGATGACAGGCGAGTGATGCCGGCTTTCCTGAGGGGGCCACCTGGAACCCAGTCTTGAGTACCACTTCAACTGATGAGACCTCGTTCACTGATTAACCGGAAGTGAAAATGAAATTGAATAAGCCTCCCAAAGCACTGTGAAAGTCACACACACACACACACACACACACACACACAGAGCAAAGAGCAGAAAACAGTGTATGGCCAGGAAAAAAACAAAGAGTGTTAAAACAAGTCAAAGTAAAAGCAAATATTGCTTATAATCCTGACGTCGACAGCTTGAGGTTGTCTGTGAAGAGACTGCTAGGTCTGCTTTCAAGATCTTGCTGCCCACCGTTTGCAAGAGATAAACAGAACAACAAGAATGGAATGAAAAGGTGGGCGGACACTGAAGGTCGCAAGTGATGCTGGGACCGGCTACCCACGCACGAAAAATTCTGTCTTGCTTCTCGCTGCATGGCAAACACCCAACTTACAGATACACAGTGAGTTTGAAAAAAATTACTTAAAAACCAAAAGAAACTATAGCTGAATATTTGATAGTTCTCTGGATGTAGAAGAAACTTTAACATTAGAAAGGAAAAAACATCAATAGATTTGACTAGCGTACAAAGACAAAAACATCTTTGGGTAAAAAAACTTAAAACCAACCAACTGAGGAAAGCGTGTTCAACAAACAGGACAGCCAAATACCGCTTTACCCGGGAGGGATTTTACAAATTAACGGTAAAACAATGATCACCCCAAAGGACACACGGGCACCTCACACCCAGGGCACTAATAAAGGCAGGGCTCGCGACCCCAACTGTGCAGCAAGTTCTTCCCACTGCGGGGAGAACGTCACGTGACGGAGCAGGCATACATCCGGCCTTCCCTCCTTGGTGCCGCACCTCCCCCCCCCCCAGGCACAGAGTGCAGGCAGGGGCGCTGACTGGGCACCGGCGTGGTGCACAGCACTGAGAGGGGCAGGCGGCCCACAACCTCGGTTTGCTCCAGCTGGACCAGCACAGACCGGCGCCCCAGATGGCCCAGGTCACTGATGTCCTAGCATCCAGCGGACGCCAGGTCCCGATCCCAACTGCCGTGTGACAAGACACTTACTGGTGGAGTTGCTGCGTGTCCTTTGGTGACAGACTCTGGGGAGCAGGAAGCTAGTACTTTGTGCTTCTAGTTTTCCGGACTTTTCTCGAGAGGAAGTTGTAGAAGCTTCCTGCAAAACAGTTCCAGCCTTTTATTCACCGGGTTGGTTACAATCGAAAAACATTCTCAGAAAACCGAGACTTTGACACTGACCTTGGAAGCACGTGCCGGACTGTGTTTCCTGCTCTAAGTCACAGGCTCCGTGGAGCAAGGAGGGAGAGGGGCTGCACGGACGCAGCCCCAACACAAGGGGCAGAGTGACTGACTGGTCGGCAGTCATGTACCAGGTTCTTCCATGGATGTGGGGGACAAGGCTGCGAGGGAGCTCGCTGATCTCGGAGGAATGGCATCTTGGAGCAGCATAAACAATAAAATAACTCACCCAGTGGGCCAGTTTCTTCCCCAGAGACGCACAGAGGGGCAGGGGACCAGCAGCATTAGCTCTCTGTGCCCCTGGGCTTGTTCCTTCACGGTTGGGGCTCAGTTTCCCCCTCGGGAAGCAGAGCGGCAGCTGAGCCACGGGCACCACCATGGCCAGCTCCCTCGCTTCGAACCTGACTGGCAGCAGCGTTCAAAGAGCTCACAGGACTCTGCCCTCCCTCACTGCTCGCATGCTGGTGGCCAGTCCCCCAGCACGGAACACCTCTCTGGTTCCCAGCCGAGCCCGCTCACTCTGGGCATAGTGTCTCCTCGGAGAAGTCTCAGTGGTGCCCCAGCCCAGCTCCCACGCCGGCACTAGGAACCGAGAGCCTGCCCCTGAGCTCGGGGCTGGCAAAATCTCCTCCCTGCTCTCACCGAGGACATGGCTGCAGCGCCCCGTGACTACCCAGGTGGCGGTCTATGCATTCCTGGGGGGCAGCGAGGGTGGCCACAAAGATGACAGGCAGATCCTTGTGGGCATAGCCGGTGTCCTGACCACACCGCCCAGCCACCTGCCTGGGACAGGAATCCACAGCCAAGCCCACTGCCTCCCCGGGGCAGGAGGGGCTCAGGGAACCAATTCCTTGTAACTTCACGTGAATCTACGACTATCTTAATCAAAAATTTAACAACTATTTTAAAATTGCATTTCCATGCACCAGGAAACAGCAGTTAGAAAACGGCATTCTAAAAAAAGGTAACATTAAAAAATATTAGCTATAACCAATAAAAAAATTGCCATTGCATCAGGAAAGAAAGAATGCCCAGGAACTAATCTAAGGAAAGCTATGTCAGCCCTTTCTAAAGAAAATTACACAACTTACTGAAAGGCATTCACAACTGAATAATGGAGAAATAGGTCATATTTAAGAAAACAGGGGGGACTTAGTAATGTACGCATGTCAATCCCCCCAAATTCATCTATAAATTTAGTGCACCACTAACAGAGTTTCAAGGCTGTTTTTTTAAGAGTATCACAAACTGGCCCCTGAATTTTTATCAAGAAGGTAAGGGCCAGAAATAAATATTCCTGAATAAACAGAGAGAAAGAGACTTCCCTACGACGGGAACACTGCTGATGTTGGAACTCAGTGATTCAGACGGCGCCGTCTGGAGAGAAGGGGACAAGCTGACCCAGGACACAGACAGGGAGCCTGAGACAGCCTGACTTGTGACGGGAACAGACACACCCATGGGGACACCTGGGGGGAAGGTGGACATGTCAGCAGCAGGTGCCGGGACGCGGGCGGGGCAGCCCTGGGGGACGAGGACAGCGCCCCCTACGCCTCACACACACAAGCGCCAGGTGGCCGGAAACCGTGACCTCAACACGCAGAACCGTGCCAAGTTCAGAAGACCACAGGACCGGCAGGATCCCTGAGTGAGTCCGTTTTAACGCAGGAGTAAAATCTTTAAATAGGACAGAGAGAGCACAGGCTCTTAAGGACATGATTGCTAAGCTCCAGGTTAAAATGAGCAACTCCTACGCATTCGTGAAAAGAGTAAAACGACAAGTGAACAGCTGGGAGAAGATGGGGAAAGAAAAGCACCAACAACCGCGCCCCCCCAAAAAAACACCCCAGAAAACCTCTGGGCATATTACTCGAGAGGACGTTCACGAGGCCCATCAATGAATGGGAATGGGAACAACATCAGCAGCGATGAAAGAAACGCAAACTGGCACTGGCAGGAAAAAAAGATTTCACAGGCCCAGGCCTGATGAGCCCCGCCCCCGAGGACGCTGCCCCGCCCCCAATGAGGCCAGGCAGCCACTGAGGCCCACACCACTTCGAGGGAGGCGGGGGCACAGCGCAGCGTGGGCGGCCAGGACACCTGCGGTCCCCAGACTCCCGCCCTCACCCTGGGAAACCTGTGCAGGTGCAGGGCACACCAATGGGCAAGTCTGCAGCGGTACAGTCCCTAATTTAGGAAACAAGACAGGGACATGGCCTGCGTGTCCACCGCCAGCGGAATGGGAAAATGGGCTGTGCACACACACACTCACATTAGACGCCGCAAAGCCCCAGAGGTCAGTGGCTGAACGACAAAACCAGACAACGCAGATGAGGGTCTGAAACGTGACGCTGAGTGACAGGCGAGTCTGCCGACCGGGGAGCCTGTGCACCTGCTCTCATTGCGGGCCCAACCGTGGGAGGCACTGGGACCTCCAGGGCCGGGACCCACGGTCCCCCTCCCTGCTGCTCACAACTGGACACCCCGGGTGTGAGTCAGTGAACAACAGTCACGACTCTGAAAGGCCAAGGAGACCCGGCCAATGGTCAGGAACCTCAGGACTCGGGGGACAGCCGCGTGAGTCCCTGGGCTCTTTCCTTCTACTCTGCACCAGACCAGGTGCCGGGAGACCTGCCGCCCAGAACCGACAGCCGGCAAAGACACAGAACAGGAACAAAAGTGCTCTCTTGGCCAAACACCAGCAGAGGGGGAGGAGCCCTGGCCCTGGCCCCACAGGGAGGGCACGGTCAGGGGTGCGTCCACCTGTGGGGGCGGGGCCACCAGCTGAGTGTTTTACTTCCTGCCCCCTCCTCGTGACAGAAGAGACCAGGCCCAGCAGCTCTGCCCAACCCGACCCGGAGCAGCAGATGGCCACCCCATGGCACCAGGCCAGCCAGAGCAGCTCTTCCCAGCCTAGCTCGCCGAACGGCTGGGACCGAGCGAGACCTCCAGCCGCGCTGGGAAATGGTCGCCGACCCGAGCAGCGCTGCAGAGGCTCTGAGGACTGGGAGCCCGGTTTCCCGAGACCTCCTGCGTCTCTCCCCCAGGCCCCTTTCCTGCCAGGCAGGGAGCTGCAGGAGACCAGCTTCCGGGCACACGGCTCCAAAGGGAGGACAGCACCCGGGAACCACGTGGGGTTTGGGAGGCTGTCAGCGAGCGAGTTCCACTCCCTGCACGTGGCCGCCCCTGCCACTCCCCTCCCCGGACACGGGGTGCAGGGACACAGCGGCTCCGTGGGAGTCCTGCAGCAGCCAGCTTCCCCCCCGTGGTTGCCCTTGGCCTCCCGGAGCTGCTCTTCTGTGGCAGGAAGAGGCAAGTGGCCAAAGGATTGGGTTTCCCAGTTGCCAAGGAAGCCGGGCCCCCAAAGCCACAGGCCCGGCCGCTCCCAGGGGCAGAATGAAAGCCTGTGTGTATCCGCGGAGGCCGGGCCCCATCTCCGCCCACGGAGCAGACGGGTGATGTGACCTCATCGCATCCCCAGTCAGGCTGCAGGAGCGGTGACTATGCCTAACCAGGATTTTTAATTTGTGGAAAGAAAAAAATATTTCCCCCACTACTGAGGCCATGCCCACGTGGATCAAAGCATTCTGAATCCTCTCAGGAGGGCCGCCCAAGGGAAGGACCTCCCGCGCGTCTGGCCTCAGCCAGTGGAAGTGGCCGAGGCCGTGTCCAGTGCAAACCCACGTGCGGGCTGCGAGCCCACGCGAGCGGGGCTGTGTGTGCACAGGCGCCCGACTCCCGAGCGGCCTCCTCGTAGGCACGGAGGCAAAAGCCTCCTCACAGCTGCGTGTGGAGCCCTCACCACGTGCCCGTCCCAACCGCCCCTGCAGACCCCAGGCCACGTGGTGATCGCTCCGGTTTAGCCAGAGGGAGACAAACGGATGGGGTCCGGGCCATCAGACGGGGTCTGTCCTAGCAAGAACCCACCACGCTGCCCTGGTGCGCTCGGCCTGGGCTGCTGGCGGGTGCGCAGGCAACCGTGAGGGGCCTGCCTGTGCCCACCGCTCACGTGGGAGGCCCAGGTCAGCGACCAGAAAGCCCGTCTCCCTGCGCCACCGAGTTCCGGCGCAGAACACCAGGCCGCACACCCACCCAGCGGACCCTGGCTACCCGAGCTCATGCAGGCGTGTCGTCAAGGCAGGCGGACAACCAATCGATTGTTAAACACACTATACCGTGATCAATAGCTTTTACACACTGGACGTTCGGCAGGCAGATGGCCTCTGCTTGGTCCGCGTGAGAGGCGGGGCTGCCTCGGCCGGAGACCGGCGATGATGGTGCCCTAGAGCGGCAGGGACCAGGGAGGGCAGGAGAAGACGGGCGACTGGGCGCCAGCGCCCCTGACTCTGCACAGCCACCGCCGCGGTCTGCTCCCCAGTATTACACAGAAGCGGCGCTGGAATGCGCCGGGGTCGGCCGGAAAGTGGGCGGGGCTGGCGGCCTGCCGCCTTTCAGGCCTCCTTTCCGTTGGAAAACTGATTAAAGTGCTAACCTGCGTGAGACTCTAATACAGGAAGAACACATACTCTACATGTCGCTGCCGAAAAGAACCGTAGAAGTGTGTTCTTAATGTAGTTATTTATTTTTTGAGAGAAGGAAAGGGAGGGAGAGGGAGAGAAGCATGGATGTGTGGCTGCCTCTCACACGCCCCCTACTGGGGACCTGGCGCACAACCCAGGCATGTGCCCTGACTGGGACTTGAACCCTCAAGGCCTTAGTTCTCAGGCTTGTGCTCAGTACACAAGCCACATTAGCCAGGGCTTTTTTTTTTTTTTTGGCAATAATTTCTTTAAAAGGACCCTCCTGTAAATGTGGAGCCAGCCTGACCTGTGGGACCTGTGCCTCCCTCTCCCCAGCTACCTCCTTGACCCAGCTCCCTCCACTCTGGCCCTCTGCCTCCTGCCCCCAGCTCCCTGCCCCCGCAATAGCCCCAGCTCCCTCCTCACTCCCAGGGGAAGCAGAGCCTAGATCTCCTGTCCTCAGCATGGACTTGAGCTTGACCTGAGCTCAGCCCCCGGTTCTGAGGTCACACAGACTTCACAGTGACTTGGCTGCCCCTACGCATCCCTGGGGAAGACCCCTGGTGGAGAGCATAAGCCCTATTATGAGTAACCAGGGTGTTTCTTATGCCCAGAAGGGAGCTCACGGCCAGTGCTGGGCCATCGTCTGAAGAAACAGCAGAAGGGGAGGAGACACAAAGAGGGGAACTCGCGAGCTCAGGCCGGCCTCCGCTCCCTGCGGCGGCAACACCCCGCGTTTTAGAGCAGTGGATCTGCAGTCCGAGCGTCTCCTCCCTGCACAGGTCTGATAGAACGCTTCTTCTTTGTTCGGTTGGGGGTCTGGAAGGGCCCCCAGAGAAGGAGCCCACAGGACCTGAGTCACAGGCGCCCTGGGGTGGGGTGCCCATCATCCACTCAGTTCAGGTTCTGCAGGCACAACACAGGCAGGGGGGCTGTTTATTTTTTATGCTGGCTGTTTACGTGACTTCCTCTTCTTTAATTTTCACACCAGGCGTTTCCAGGGGAGTGGCTGCTGTCCCGGGGCCGCCTTCCAGATGCCGTTGTGAAATCGGTGTAACCATGGCATCGCTGGAGGCTGAGGAGCCGGGCTAGGCCAGCTGAGTCACGCCTGGGCGCGGGGGCGGGCAGGAGCCAGGGCAGAGCAGGGGACACTGGGACTGGCTGTCTCCTTGGACCTTCTGCCCTGGTGCTTTTGATAAAGGACCAGGCTCAGACAGCTGACCCCTCACCTGCTTAGAACTCATTACCAGACCAGAAATGGTCCCTGCGTGGCTCACGAAGGGAAAAAGAGCATCTCAGGCCTGAAGCTGGCGGCTGCCTCACTGACTTCCAGTCCATCCCTGTCATGCCTGTCTGTCTGTCTCGCCCTTGCTGCCGCCTGCCCGGCTGAGGGTAGGACTCCGTCCCCACACACAGCGCTCGCCCCTCCTCACACATCTGCACCCGCGCCCTGGATGAGCAGTGACCCCTCCGTCCTGTCTCCATCACCAGCCTACAAGCGTTGCAGAGCCTGCGACCCTGGCCCACAACCTGGCCCAGTGAAGCACGCAGTCCCTGCTACCAGATTCATCAGTTACTCAGTTACCGTGCCGGCCCCTGTCCCCACCTCAGACAGAAATAATAACAATCATGAAGCCACAACGGGGTGCACCACACTGTTTTAGGTACATTTGCTCTCGGAGGCGATGACAGCTTCCTCCTGACGAAACCGCAGCAAGGTAACACGGGTGTTGTTAATGTCCCCCGTCGCTGGGACACAGGAAGGGACCACGAATCATGCAGGACCGTGTGGCTGCTAAACGGGAACCTGGGACTCACCCCGAGCAGTCAGACCGATGACCCCATACCCATCCCAGCAACAGTGATGCTGCTGTGACCGCTTTCCCCCCAGGGTTTTGGGAGAAGGAGATGAGAGCCGTGAAAACATTTCTTAAAGCAAAGCGCTGCACACGTGGAATCACAGAGATGAAGGAGGTGCAGCTGGTCAGGAACACACGCCTGACCCCGACCCTGCTGAGCGCCACCACACTGCCACCGTGGCCAGGACGCACCCCTTCCAGCGGCTGCAGCCGGAGCTCTCCTGGCCCGGCCCTGCACACCTCTCTGCTCAGCAGCCCGAGCTGCTCAGCCTTCCGTTCCTTCCTGTCCTCCTCGGAGGAAGGGTCCAAGTCCGCCCCGGCCAGCGCCCCAACCTCGTCTTCCCCACGCTCCCGTTCCCTGCAGCCCCTGCCGCTCCTCCTCCCCTCAGGGCTCCGCCAGCACCCTCTCTCCCCCCCACCTGCTGCTCTGCTGCCGGAAGTTCTTTCCCCAGCACCACACGGCTGCTCCTCAGCTCCCTTCACTCCGGCCCCTGCTCACTGCCACTCTCAGAGCCCCCCTCACGGTCACCTTTGCATGGAGGGCCACGCCCCCTCCTCATCCCCCTGCACCCTGTTCCTCAGTCTTCAGGCCCCTTTGCTCCCCAATGCCACAGCACACACCCAGTTGTTAAGCTCCGTCCCCAGCCAGAGTAAGAGTGGCACAATGGCAGCGACCCCCCTGGTCTGCCTGGCTCACCCCCTAGAACCGTACCTGGTGCGTGTGGGCTGTGCTGGCACTGGCCCAGAGACACGCTCGCTCCCCCACCTCTGTCGTCCCCACCTCCATTCTGCCTCATGCCTCGGGCAACAGGCTCCCTGAGGGCAGGCGCTGGACCCTTGTCCCCAGTGCCTGGCTCAGAACAGGTGCTCAGGAAGCCCCTGTGTGGTGAACGGAAGGGACAGATCCTTCTAGAAGTTGGCTGGAACGATTCTTGACCTGCATTTATCCAGGCTCTAACCTGGGTCAACTAATACTGCCGTGAATGAACTTGAACTCCTGGATACTGGACTGTCTAGCAGCCACATCAGTCACAGAGAACCAGGAGCCTGGCCAGGCTTCCCCAGACCCCCTGGTCGGGCCCTCCTCCTGTCCTAACCCGTGGAGGTGAGGGGAGCAGCCTGGGCAGGGTGGGCCCTCGGTGACCTGCCCGTGTCTGTCCAAAGTCCCTGGACCAGGTCTCCTGCCTTCCATGTTCGCTGTTCAGCCGAGTAATGGTGCCCCGAGGGCCATGGCCATGGGGCGTGGGAGAAACCCCTGGGGCTGACCTGTCTCTGAGGAGCTCAGCGGTGGGGACCCCACCACCCACGGAAGGATGGAGAACCACCGCGTGGCGCAGAACCACCGCGTGGCGCAGAACCACCGGGCGGCAGAACTCTCCCTCAGCCTCCACCCCGTGGTGCCCGGCCACACCCCCTCTCCGCACAAGCACAAACCAGAGTGCGGTCTCGCACAGAAGACCACTCCGCACTCTGGCAGCTCTGCCAGCACCGCTCAGTTCTCCTTCCCCGCCCCGCGCACCTCCAGCCCCCACGCCTGTGCTGCAGCTGGCGGGGGCGCCTGGACGATGCCCCCTGTCGGCGTTCAGGGGCACACTCACCCTGTGCCCCTGCCAGGCTGGCCCTGGAAGAGGGTCTCTGTCGGGTTCCCAGCTGGGTGCAGGTGTGACCCACCGGAGCCAAGCCACTGTGGCCGGCCCGCCTGCCTGCACCGGGCACATTCCAGCAGGGACCCAGGCTCAGCAGACTTCGGGCGGACACGGAAACTCACTGAGTCTCTCAGGGAGACCCACAGAGTCGGACTCGCCACAGCGCCCTCTGCAGGCATCCTGGGGACCGGCCTCCAACCCTACCTGGCTGTGGGTCAGAGTAGAGCTTGTGTCTGTGTCCTGCAGCGAGGAAGGGCCAGAGGACTCGGACACGCCGCCCCAGACGCCGGCGGTGCACCCCGGCCCAGCAGGCCCCGGCCTACCTTCAGAAAGAACATCCTCCTGCAGGGCTTGCCTCCATCACTGCCCGCCGCCTGCAGAGCTGCGAACCCGGAGGGCAGGCCCAGGCCCGGAACGCGGCCCGGCCCCGCCTCGGATGTGTCTGCCAGCTGCTCGGGCGAGTGGACCATCCCTTCCTTGCCCTGGCCCAGCGACATCTCAAAGGGGTCCGGGTGCCTCTCATCGGGGCTGGAGCCATCGTCGCTGGTCTTTGCGTGGCAGAGGATCAGGGACCGGGAGAGGGAGCGGAATTTGGTGGATTTTCGGCTCCGCGCAGCGCGGCTGTGCAGCTCCATCCTCAGGGAGGAAGTGAAGCTGGCCTTCCTCTCCTGGTCTCGGGCCCTCGGCGGGCGGGCGGCGACTGGACTGGGCTTAGCCGCCCCTTCGCCGGTGCCTGGAGGAGAGAGGTGACAGGAAAGAGCCATGAGACGGCTGACTGCGCGTGGAGCTCGGCCAGAGCCCTGGAGCAGAGCCACGGGGAGCCCGGCCTGCCGGGCCCTGGGCCCTCCAGGCTGTCGGCCACGTGGGGCTCCGCGACCCCAGGCGGTTGCCGCCCTCTCTACTCCCAGGCTCACGGAGGCCAGAGCTTGCCCAGTGAGGGAAACCAAGGCACGCCCAGAGCCACAAGGAGCCAGCGGAGGAGCCCACCCTTCACCCCAGGAGAGAATCACAGATCAGACAGCCCAGAGCTTCTAACCTGTATAAACTTCAAAGCCATTTTTCAGAGGAAAGTTTACGGGGAACCCAGTCTACAGAGCAGGTCGGAGGGCGACAGGGAGACTATGTTCCCCCTGCCTGTGCCTTTGCACTGCCCTTGGTGAGCCGGGCAGCAGCTCGAGACACACCAGATTCACAGGCCCATGTGAAGACCCCTGCCCTCCGTGCCCTCAGCTTCCGGGTGGGGAGGATACGACTAGCAAGGCTGGGAGCCTCTCCCGTGCTCACTCAGTTCACTGGTGGAGGAGCATGGGCGGGGCCAAGCCCGGCCAGCCACGCCCACAGGGGCGGGGCCACCACCTTGCCACAACTGTACAAGCATCGAATTCCCCAATGACTCTGAAAGGGGACCGCCTGTGTGGAGAAGGGGAATGAGTTCATGAAATGCGTTTTAAGTTTCTGAATTCTCCGACAGGGTCCCATGTCAAAGGCAGTTTTTAAAGGGCGGCCACTGCAGCCCAGGGGGTGACTCTGGCTCAGACCGAAGAGTGACTCAGAGATAGGAGACGAAGGGAGGAAATTCATAATTCCTCAACTGAATTTTATATTCTTCTTCACATAGGCTCTAAGTATCGCTAATTACATATTTCTCAGCACTTTGGCTCCTACTTTGAATGGAACTGTTTTAAAATAAACTTTGTAGTTGGTTATTGCTTTTGTATGTCATGACTTTTGCCTGCACAGTCAGGACTTGGGCAGCCCGCAGCTCCGGCTTATCAATTCTACTAACTATTCAACAGCTTCTCCGGGGCTTCCAACCACGTGACCTCTGCATGTTACGGCGCTCGATTCACATTTAAAATGCTTCTACCCCTTATTTCATTTTATTCGTAAATAACTAATAGTAAAGGTGTTCCAGGTCCTTCTCCAGACATTAATGGAAATACCCCTAGTGTTTTCCGGCAGTGAGGAGGTTGATGGCTATCTGTTGAGATAACGAAATATCCCACTGGCGGTGACTCGGGGAGAACTTCCACCAACACGGAGGTTATTTGTTGAGGGCCTTTCGCCTCCCGCCACGAGCGTGGATTGGCCTGTTCTGATTTCTCCGTGTGAAGAGACATTCTGGGTGTCTGCAGACGGAACGGCCAACATTTTGTGGCTGTGAGTCTCACATTAGGCTGCAGTGCGGAAGTCTCTGAAGCGACAAGTGACCTATATCTAGGACCTCTGGACTTACACCCGCAGACACAAACGGCCTTGGGTCACAGGAATGTTAGGAAAGGAGCCGAGGGCGGGTCATGTGCCTCCTCCGCGTCTCCAAAGCTGCTCGATGGTTTAGCGACATCTTTTGGTACTGGTGTCACTTTTCAGGTGGTTATCCGAAACTTCCTTTGCTTCCTCGATTTTTAAAAACCGTCTGTCAGTCTTGATCATCTCACATTGCCATGGGAGTGCCGTTTCACCCCGAGTCTCCTGTGGGTGAATACCCAGCTGTCCCTTACAGAGAGAAAGCTGGCCCACGGCCTACAGCTTTCCCTCCGAACTGTGCGGGGCTGGCCCCCCGCCCCCTCGCTCTGCTGAACCTAGGCTGCAGGACGGCTGTTCTGTCGGTCCCCCTCAAAGTTCTCATCCCTAGGGTTGGCGAAAACGTCCACCCTTCTTGGCTGGCTTCCTAACGCACTTATTCCCACTTGAGTTTTATTACTACTCTTCCCATCCTGCTTTTCTTATGTTTGTGTCTGCCTTCTAGAATTTCACATTTACTTCCCTCAAATCCATTTTTTTCCTCTCCTTTAGAAATGACAGCACACCAGGCAGTGGTCACCTTCTCTGGCTTTGAATCCCGCTAGACCTGGGTTCAAATCCCAGCCCAATGATTTACTCGGCATCTAACATTCCGAATGTGTTTGACCTTTCTCCCAAATGTCTTTGACCTTTCTGTGATTCGGTTTGTTAATCGTATAATGAGGGTGACGTGGTCGCCACCTCGCCGCTACTCTGAGGATCAGCTTGAATGCTGGAGGTTAAGTCCTTCAGCACAGACTGTTGGCTGGTTATTATCGTCACTCTGTCCTCTTCCTCCTCCTCCTCCTCCTCCTCAAAGCTAGAAACTCCCTTCTGAATATGCTTTTCGCCACAACCCGCAAGTTTAGAAATACGGTGTTCTAACTGTTATCTTAGAAATGGTCTCCAAGAGTGGAGTTCATTTCCAGTTTCGACTCAGGTCTTTAAGACTGCCTGCTGCTCTCGTTCCCTCCTTGTGGTTACATCTCCCAAGTTAATCCCTGTTGTTCGGATGTTTTTATTAGAAAAATGCTAGCGTGATCACATCGAGGCCACAGGATGCGTCCTGGACACTTTGTGTCTGTGGGGGTTTATTGAGGTTGACTCTGTGAGCCAGCGTGTGACGTGACTAAGTGTTTACGATGTTCTGGGCGCATTTGAAAGGAATGAGTATTCTCTGTGTGGAGCTTCAAATATGGATGTATCCGAGTATGATGGTGATAAACTCATACGTAAATGTGTATCCGAGCCTTTAAGTCACAGCATTAAAACCCTCACATTCTTTGTTTGCATTCATCCAACTAAGAGCGTGGGTGCGGTGCTGTGCACTGAAGCCCAGCCCCGCGTCTGCGACAGTCCCAACGTGTGTTGTTTTACGCATTCCAGCGCCTTTCCTCTCTCCACTGCGCATTCTTCTCCCTACCCATTTGCAGAAAGTGCCCCCTGACCTATTTAACAGTTCCCTCAACTTCTATTTTCTCTGTCCGAATTCACACGGCCTCCTCGCCTTCTTCCAACCTGCATTTCACGGCGTTTGCCCCTCGCTGCGATTTTAACTTCGCGTGGTCTGGTCTCAAACATGTCCCTTGAAAGTGGGGATGGGATCGGATTGGGATGGAGACTTCGTGTCTCTGGGTTTGTTTCCCTGTTTATGCTGAATCTGGGAGTCTTTCATTTTAAATCTATAAACCTCACATCTTACATCTCATATCTACTTCCTCTGTGACGTTCTATCTCGTCTCCTGACTGAGACGCCTTCCCCCTGGCGTGTCTGTGTGGCTCCTCGCTGCTCGGTTTTCTTGCTCTCCTCCTTAAAGCAGCACCGGCCGCGCACACACCTCCTGGTTTTCTATGACTAGCTGCTCCGTCAAAGATTTCAGAAGCCGCATTTGAGCCCCCATCTTTCCCTCCTCACCCATTCACTCCGAGAACGAGCCTGCCCGAGGTGCCGCTTCCCTACGCCAGGTACCGCTGCTGGGACGCCCGCAGCCCCGCCCGACCCCCACCTGCCGGTCTCTGGTTGCAAAGAGATGACGGCATGAGGGCCATTCTATGTTCTCTCTCTTCTCTCTCTCAGTATGACTTTCACTGTCTGTATTATTTCAAAACCCTGCTAGGAACTTACAGGCGGTCACCCCCCTGCCCAGGCTCAGCCCTGCCAGGGGTGCCTGCCACCCTCGCCCCCACGCCCGGGGCCCCGCTCTGTCCCTTCCTTGGACTCTTTCTGCTGCGTGGCCACCTCCTCAGCCTCCCCAACACTGAGCTTTCTTTCTCTGTCGCTGGGCCTTGCATGCTCCTTCTAACCCTTGATGCTGCATCAGCATGCCTCAGATCCCCTCTTCAGCTGACATGTTTTTGAAACCCAGCCCTGCCCCTGCCCAGACCCCCGTGCTGCCTCTGGTGCCCCGTGCGCCCCACTCACCCACCCGGCCCCTGCACAGCCGGCCTGGCTCACCGCCCTGGTGGGTCGAGCCCCGTCACCCCTCCTGAGCCCCGAGCTCCGGGCAGAGGGCAGGCTCCTGTCCACTGTGCTCAGAACTGAGCCATCAGGCCCGGCTTCGAGAACGACCCCCAGCGCCCCCTACGGAGGCGTGTACAGTGTGAGGGTGCTTCCCCGCCAGCTGACGGGGTGAAACAGGACGAGACACCTCACAGGCACCGCGTCCCTGCTGGGCTGACCCCCGTCGGGGACAAACTGCACTGCCCGGCTCGCCCAGGTCACATTTGGGTGACTGTGGAGAAGCAGGCACACTCTGCAGCTGAGGAGGAGGACGAGGAGACGACAGTTGTAGTCTGCCCTCTGGTGAGAAGCGACACACCACCTCTTTCAAGGTCATTTCTATTTCTCTCTCACACACATGTATCCCCAGCTTCTGCACCTGCGAGGGCAGCGCCTGAGCTGGGAGGGTGTCACTCTGCAACAGGAGACGTGCTGCAGGTGGCGAGGCATCTGCCAGGTAACCAAGTTCCGCAGAGAGCCAGCGTGGCGGTCGACCAGAAGAACACCGGCCCTGGGACTAAACCAACAGGGGAGAAGCCGGCGGTGTGCCTGGGGACAGCAAGCAAGGGCTTCCCCGTCTGCGTCAGAGGCTCCTGCCCTGCGCCCACCTGCCGGGAGCAGCCCCAGGGCTGGGGAAGCCTCCTCCACGGGCTGCCTTGCTCCCAGGCTCTCCCCTCCTCCCACATCCCCAGCCCCAGGGACAAGGTCCAGGCTCCCGAGTCAGGAATCCCAGGGCCAGCGGCCCCCAGGGCCGCGGGGCACGGGAGAGCAACACCCTGCCCCACCCTGACTCCCACCGCTCTGTGCCACACAGCAAGCAGCACGAGACCCCTACCCAGCGGACACGCCGGCTCCTGCTGCTGCCCGGCCCCAGCACTGCATCCAATGTGAAGTTCCAGCAGCCAAGACCTCCCCCGGCCCCACCATGCAGCTCAGAGAGGCCAGCCTCT